ACAGTCCAAGCCATGTCCCAACCAGATTATTTTTCTAAAAAATGCATAAGATACCTCAGATCAGAAATTATTTATTTGGAAATGAACCTCGAGACTTGTCAAAAATTGACACGAAACAAAAAATATTTCTGAAGGGAATATCTTTCTGGAACAAAAACTGGAAGTTTCCAGTCTGATCTCTGAAACGTTATCACCAAATTTGTACGGCAACATGGTTGTTTGAAGCACTTGCAGGTCACTGATGATGATCAAAAAAATCTCGAAACGTGACTTACAGTGACAGAACATGCCATGCCAGAAATTATTAAAACCGATCTCAGCCGTCTCTTTTTATGAGCAAAATTATTTTTTTCCAAAAACTTCAACGCCTTGTACCAACTCAACGAGACGATTTTGGATATAGATAAGTTGGCCAAAATCAACTTGTTTTTATCCCAGGAGTCCACAGCCGAGCCATGTCCCAACCTTTTACAGACACCCCGTATATGTATATAAAATTACTGACAATACTGAAATAATTTCGGAATATGAATCTACGTACAAAAATTCGAGAGTGGGAAATACTTCAATTTGTGTGTGTGAATATTTAATGAGCAGTCGAAAATATCTAGAATAATTGACAAATTGTTCTATGGAACGAAATCCATCGATAGTTTACCTAATTCGGCTCAAATTAAGTTGAAGGTCTGGTTATTTTTTGTATTTGAATTGGATTTTTTGAATAACGAGTTCAATAAAAATTCTATTCTTCAAATTGGATGCGCACTGTTATAAAAAAAGTTTTTTGTTTTGCCTGAAGACTGATCTGGATTCTGAATTCCATGCATATTTAGTTTCGATGAGAAATATGAGTTGAATATACCTACAAAGAATGAATCGATTATACACAGTGGTTCAAAAGTTATGACCTGACCATAGATGAAGATTTTGCCAAAATCAAGATTACGTTCTGTATCACAGTTATTGAAGATGGTAAATTCTTAAAAGATATAGTTTTGAGAAGGAAGCACGAAAATCAGAAGAAAGTATTCCTTGATCGGAGAAAATACAACAAACGGTACGAAACATACAGGGTATGTCACGGCGAGCTTACACTATCTCTATATCGAGAATCAGTCGGAAGAAATCCTTGAGAATATATGCATATGATCAGAATTCTGAATCTTGAACCACCCTGTATCTGTTCCGATTGAATATCAGTAAATAGTGAAACAAACGTTGAGATAGGGACATGTGAGCCGTTTTGACCGATAATGTCTATTTTCGACACAAAAAAATCCTAAAGTTGAAAAATATCGATTTTGAACACCCTATATCTCTGTAATCATTTTCGATAGATCCTAAGTATGATACATCGATGAAATCAGCTTTCCAGGGAGAATCATAAAATGCGATGAAATACAGGGTGTTCAGTTTTAAATATCAATGTTGCTACTACTTTCTAGTAGAAGCGGCAACACTGCATTGTCGAACATATCTCAAATGAAAAGAGCGTATACCAACATATAAGCATGCACATTTTCATGGATTTCTCCCGACTTATTCTCGATTTAAAGATAGTGTAGGCTCGTCGTGGCATATACCCTGTATAGGGTAATGAAGTTAAATGAATACAGAGAAATATGAGGAGAAATTGAGAAATCTGCACTCACCAGCGTAAAAAAAGTCAGGCTTTGATGAAACAACACGAAACACTAGAACAACACACGATCCCGAAATTATTATTATTGAATCGAATGAGGCATACAAAAACACTATTCACGAATCAATACGATCACTCAGTTTTTAGGGAACACTCATTTTGGAACGATATATAATTCCTTTCGCGTATTTCTCGATGTCGATCACAAAATTCGACCGTACCTGATGACATCTAATATAAGACTGTATTGATTTACCACCTGGTCCCGAATGAATGACTAATAAGTTGAATCATACTGATAACCGATTAATTTCACAAAAAATGATTTATCTATGACAAATGATGATAACGGAGGGGGAGATATTTTGTATACAGGTGCTATTTTTTTTTTCGAAAATCACCAACGATACGGGGGGAAAAGATATATAATATACAAAATATAAGATGAAGTATATTGAACACGGATATACTCTGACAGTATTATTTTCGAAAGTCGAATGATTGAACACAGGCTGAAAATATAATCTTTCCCAAAATATCTAGATATGTTTTGATAACTGGAAAGAGTAGGAAAATAATGAACAATAATGTGACCTACTTTTTATAAGCACGCATCAAATTTTGACATTTGTGTGTGTGAAAATGTAATGAGCACACGAAAATAACTAAAATAATTGAAAAATTATAAATAATTAACAAATTATTCTACGGAACAAAATACATCGATAGTTCACCTAATTCAGCTCTGATTAAGTAGAAATTTGAGGACTGGTTAGTTTTTTTAATAAAATTGGATTTTGAACTACGAGTTCAATAAAAATTCTATTCTTCAAATTGGATGCGCACTGTTAAAAAGTAGACCAATTCATTGATTTTTCCTGCTCCTTGCAGATATCAGAACATATTATTATCTACAAAATTCTAATATATTATGTTGTTATTGAGAAAGAAGAAGTTTTCTGTTTTGCTTGAAGACGGATCTGGATTCTGAATTCGATTCCTATTTAGTTTTAATGAGTGATATGAGTTGAATTTACCTACCAAATATGAATCGATTATATACAGTGGTTCAAAAGTTATGACCTGGCCATATAGATATGAAGATTTCGCCAAAATCGAGATTACGTTCTGTATCGTATAAACAGCTAAACTGGACTAACACTCAGAAAAACCCGAAAACGTAAATGAACAAGTATATTGAAAAACAAAAAGAGGTACTACAGTTTATCACCCACTGAACGCGTTGAGCATACTGACTCGTCTCTTATCATCCCAAATTCCATACCAGCTCATTCGCTCCAGCCGTTATTCCTTACATAACCCATAGTGAATCAACACCCAACGAACATGAAATACAGGGTCGTTCCTTCGGATCGCTTATAATCGGTAGATTCTTGAAAAATACAGTTTCGAACAGAAAGCACGAAAATCAGAAGAAAGCAGTTCTTGATCGGTGAAAATACGGTTCCGAACAGAAAGCACGAAAATCAGAAGAGAGTATTCCTCGATTGGAAAAAAATACAAAAAACGGTACGAAACATATACAGGGTATGTCACGACAAGCTTACACTATCTCTATATCGAGGATCAGTCAGGAGAAATACATGAATATATGCATGCTTATATTTAAGCATTTGCGCTCACTTCATTTAAAATAATTTCAGCAATGCAGTGTTGCCGTTTCAATCAGAAAGTAGCAACAACTTTGTTATATCCAATAAAATACCCTGTATTTCATTGCATTCTGCATCAATACATCGAACTTGGGGTTTATCGGGAATGATTACAGTGATATAGGGTTTTCAAAATCGAGATTTTTCAACTTCAGGATTTGTTTGTGCCGAAACTATGCATTATCGGCCAAAACGGCTCACATGTCCCTATCTCAACTTTTCATTTACTATTTACTGATATTCAATCGGAACAGATTAAGGGTGATCGGAATTCTGTAGCTTGAACCAGCCAAAACACCCAACCTCTTGTGTGGAAAATCACCTCTCACAAATGATACTGTGTTAATGGTGATATTATCAAAGGAAGAACTGTTTTCAATATAAAGGTATATGTCATCTAGACCAGACGATTTTTTATTTCTTCAGTTTGTTTTTTAACAATGAGAGTAATGCATGTTCCGTAAATGGGTTCAGAAATATTATGTAAAGGTTGAACTCCTTTTCATTATCAAATACCCTTTCATTACTTGGAGGTATAGGAGCCTTATCGAAAAAATCATTGAATCAATATAGTTGTGTAATTAGTGAGAGAACTGCAAGTCAATTTATCTCTTCTATTTCACTTCGCGGTTACATAAATAACTAATAAACAACCACTGAGTTCGCATTTTTCCGAAATCAAATCACAGAATTAGAGACTAACAGATATTTGATTACTTTAGTCCCTTGATGGAAATTGACGTGGTCATGTTCGACTTTAATGTCAATTTCCATCAAGGAACCCTAAGCCATCACTAACAAGTAAAGCGTGTCTTATCTTCTATAGGTAGTTATAATTTAATGATAATGTAAATTATATTGATTGAAAAGTAACTTTGTGAAGACCCCGGCCTGTAGGCCAACCAGAAAAAGGGGTGCTTTACAATATTATACCGGCATCATAAAAAAATGATTTTTAGCGACAAACTACTGCTACGCTTGCTACTGACTGACGACTGTATTACCAACTAAAATCTGAAAATAGGTTGACAGAAAAATGTGCATATGATGTGTGCTGCCATCGTTCATAAAACTACCAACTTACGGCCCGTGATGGTATCCACCTGTGCTTAGGCCGGTTCGTTTGTATTGCTAAACTTGCTAAAGTTGATTTTTTTCCCATAGTTGTGTCTGTTCATGGCATAAACAAAGGAAGTCATAGAAAAAAATCAAGTTGAGCAGGTAGTTCAGAAAAATCACTCGACCGCCTACTATGATTTCTCTACCGTCACAACGAGCGAGACGTTGATTCTACATTTTTCCGCTAGATGGTGATGCTGCTATCGCTCCTGTGACGAGTGGATATAAAATGGCAAATTGCATTTCAGGTACGCGGAACATATGTAACAGTGGGATAATTCAATTCTGAATTCGAAAAATCTGCGACACTCTCAAAACTGACAGATGTAATGATTGTGCAATGTCGCCATCTATTAGAAGATCGACGGAACCATTGCTTTCGCTGCTCTCGAGAGGTCGAGTAAAATTTCTGAAACAAAAGCGCATGTAATCACACATTACACCATATCTTACTTCCATCATTAGGTAGAGCAAGAACAAACGAACAGGCCTCTCACAGCATGCGTCTAATTGCTGTTCCGTGATTCTGTTTCTTCAAATTCTGTCCTTAGCCAAGATAAGAACCAGAAACGGCAGAAACTTACCATAACCTATAAAGCGAACAAGAACAAGAACTAGAAACTAGAACAAATCAGACAGATTTTGAAAGGAGGGAATCAGGAAATCGAAGAAAAATAGTTTATAAAAATGGAGACGATGGAGGTAGATCAGCTCTCAAAACCTTCAACATCAAAAACTCAAGAGCAATCTAATAAAAAACACTGTAACCTGCCTTGGTAAGAATCATAGCTTCTTCACCAGTACTGGATTATTCTTGAATATATTTCAATATTTTCAGGATTGAAAAGTATAGACCTCAGACATTTCAAGAAATTGTAGGAAATGAAGATACAATAACCAGATTGTCCATATTCTCCAAGCAAGGAAATGTGCCAAATGTTATAATAGCGGTATGTTGGTTAGTTTTGTTGTTTTAAGCTTATAAGCTATAATACCACTTGACTCATAGGGACCTCCAGGTGTTGGTAAAACAACAACTATTTTGTGCTTAGCTAAAATTCTTCTTGGGTCTTCTTTCAAAGATGCAGTCTTAGAACTGAATGCTTCTAATGACAGAGGCATAGATATTGTTAGAAATAAAGTGAAGATGTTTGCTCAGCAAAAAGTCACCTTACCTCCTGGTAGGCACAAAATCATCATTTTGGATGAAGTGGACAGGTAACATCAATAAATTGTCAATGCAAATCAAACAATATGGTATTTTAGTATGACAGAAGGGGCCCAGCAAGCTCTTAGAAGGACAATGGAAATTTACAGCAACACTACAAGATTTGCTTTAGCTTGTAATTATAGTGAAAAAGTTATTGAGGCTATCCAGTCTAGATGTGCCATTCTGAGATATTCTAAGCTCACAGATTCCCAAGTTCTGGCTAGAACTATTCAAATCTGTGAAAAAGAAAATGTTTGTTTTGAAAAAAATGTGTGGGCCATATTTCATTCCTCATTTGGCTTCTGATTTTTAGGTAAAATACACTGAAGATGGGTTGGAGGCTATAGTTTTCACTGCTCAAGGTGATATGCGCCAAGCTCTAAATAACTTACAATCTACTCATAATGGTTTTGGAGAAGTAAATTCCCAAAATGTGTTTAAAGTGTGTGATGAACCTCATCCAATGCTTATCAAGGATATGTTAAAAAACTGTACAGAGGGAGACATCAGAAAAGCTTATAAAATCATAGAACACTTGTGGAATCTAGGATATGCAGCTGAAGATATTATAAAAAATATATTTAAAGTTTGTAAAAACATGGACATGGATGAACCATTGAAACTTGCATTTATTAAAGTAAGTATGAGCAAGCCATGAAAAATCTATTTTTGCTTTATGATATCTCAGCTAGGTATATTGCCATCAAATATACTCTTTTGGAATTGAAAAATCATTTCACTGATTGAAAACTAATTGATTAGTTCCTGCTTTCTACAATCTAGTAAAAAACTGGAACTTTAATTTTTCAGGAAATTGGATTAACACATCAAAAGATAGTAGATGGTTTATGTTCACTGTTACAAATGTCTGGATTACTAGCAAGACTGTGTAAAGCTGGAAGTAAAGATCGAACTGCCTAACTTTCCTCATGTTTTTTTAGTCATTTTCATCTTTTTTGTACTGTTTCTACTTATCTTAATAATATAGTATTACTTTTTCAAAAAGTTGTTTCAAATATCATACCCACCTCTAATTGAACTCATCATCTGAAAAATAAGTGGACAAATGTCAACAATATAATATGAATATGGTATTTGCTCTCTACAGGATGTGAATTTTTGAACATAGGGCTGCATGAATTAGTAATTTTCAAAATTTTTACATATTTTGATTTCTCGTTCACTTGTCTGTACAGCCATTTCCAATTTTTGCAATTTTTTGCAGCACCACCATCAATATAAAAAATAGGTTATCTGATAGAAGAGAATGTGAATAGAAATGCATCTCCAATGGAATATACAGTATTCAATTATAGATAACAAATTTATGATCATTCAAAAAAGTCAGCATTGACAGGGTTCATTTATAAATCACCCTGTAAGATAACTGTTCATTATGACTTCATCAAAGCGATAGTCAAAGAATTATCGAAGCTGGTGAAGTTTTTGTAGGAAAAACCCCCAGAAACTTTTCTGTAGATCTGGCCCCCATGTCCGAATTAACCAGCAAAAAGGCTGTAGTTTGGTTATCACCTTGTATAAAAGAATATATTATATTGGGGACTGAATACGACATGATCAGAGCATTCTTTGGACATGAGCTTTGCAATATATAATTGCTATAAAACGTCTCATTCCAGAATCAACATATGTGTTATAATTTTTAAAAATAATAATAAACTTGGCAACGCCGTACCAAATTGCAAAACTCAGACATGGTTGTGTAGACAAAATAAAGCGGGGTTCACAACTAAACTTTTCACGTTTTGCTTTTTACGTTTCGTATTCTGATTGGTGAAGCAGAATCTGTAATTAAACGTGAGCAAATGTGATTCACAACAACAAAAAATCGTGACTTTTTATGGCTCAGTTACCTTGGTTTTGTTATTTGTTTTTCATCCTGAAATGAAGTAAATAATCATAACAATAATATTGATCAGATTGATATAGAACTGGCGGTGATGAAAATTGATCCTTATTCAATACTTGAAGAGAAAAATCAATCTTCAACAAGAAAATAATGAATTCGAAAGTATATACCTATCTACTATTCTGTGGATTCACGAAAAGATCATGAAAACATCATTCTCAGATAAATTATGAAAATACAAAAATGGATATATATTTATGTAAAGCAACATTGAGAATTCGCATTCTCTATGTGATGAGAATATTTACTCATTTTCAGTCTCAATTTGGAATTTCTTTCCACGCCCTGTATGATGAATGTCAATTTATCATACACCCAAAAGCAAAAACATCATGACTTCCATATTATTACAGAATGTTTCATATTATTCGTCTATTTTTACTATTTCCACAGACGATGGCTTCTTGCAACGCAAAAAGCTGAATATTTTCAGCTTTTTGCGTCATTTCAATTACAGATTTTGCTTCACCAATCAGAATACGAAACGTAAAAAGCAAAACGTAAAAAGTTTGGTTGTGAACGCCGCTTAATGGCATTGAAAAAAAAAACGTAATTCGTGTGGCCCGCGTTCACAAAACATTCCATAGAGATGGAAATAATTTCAATTTGTAGGCATTAAAAGATAGTCTATTATCTCTTATTTGCACTGGAGCTGGTGCAAGTTTTTTGAGTTCTGTGATTGGAGCTCGATCTTTTTCGCGCGTCTCGATTAAGTCTATCAGTCACCGCTAGGGTATCTGCTTGGCGGCCAATGAACTGCTCTTGATATTTATCGTTCTATGACGCCATGGAACATACCTTTGGGACTCTTGATAGATGTCGACACCGTATTGCTAGGAGATTGCTGTTTGAGCGCGAAATTGGCGGTCTAGGTATCAGGAACACAGAAGGTTCGGTGGATCGTTTTGCGTTTGTCATTCAGTTGAGAGATGCGCGTTTATGTGGAAATTACCTCTTTCAAAGTCATGTACTCCTAGTAATGGAATCTCTCGCGTGATAACTTGATGAGCGGACGGAATTTCTTGATTGATAGTGGAGATTTCAAGATTCTTCACCATAATTGAATTGAGGGGAATTGAGAATAAAATGATTATTATAATTTTTAGCGCTTTCTCAGTGATTTCGATTTCAGTTTTCGTTATCTATATATCAATGAAGCTATCTATTTTCGATACCAATGGCAGTTACCACAATTCCGCGAGTATTTTCTACGAAAATATGTAATGGCAAATATTACTGTTCTGACGTCACTAAAATATGACGAACTTCTCATAATTCATAACTAAGAGGGCTCTGGTCGTAGGCACGCAGGAGATTCAGGAAGTGTTGATATTCACATACCAATGAAACAAAAATTTTGCAATATTTATTTGTACATAACGAAATGGATTCGACAATAGGTATGAGTATTATTGAAACCATAAACTGCAAATATTTTCTTCTGTTGTAACACAAAAACACTTGAGATATATACCTATAACCATCGATTAAAATAATAGGGATATATACCTACCTACAAATGTATGTATGTATACATACCTATACTCACCATAGAAGTAATTATAATAAAAGACTATTTTCCTACCTATAATAGTGATGGTTTAATCTAATACATATATTATATAGTATTAGTAGGTACTAATATGATGCACTTTTGCAAATCATTCACGAATTAGTGGATAAGTAAGTATTGGCTTTGATATTACCTAATTGTTTTTATTGAAGACGGTTATTTCTGCCATTATTTTTTTTAACTCCGTGATAATCGTCTACATAGGTAGGTAGGTATGTATCATTTTCATTATTGTTCATTCAAATACATCTACAATTATGATGACGAGTTTGATGAGTCCAATACTCAATAGATCGTCTTCCTCCTCCTGATAATATCAGCTTTATTGCTTAGAAATGGCAACTCTTTGGGAGTAGAACATGATGTAAAACCGATGATTTGGCAACACTACAACTCTGAACTCTCTGTTCCATGCGCTGATGTGCAGTCGTGGCCATGATGGTCGTTGCGATGAAATAACCATACCGTTTTTATTTCTGCTACCCTGATACAGGGAAACCTTAAAGAAGTCCGTTGGAGGACGTTGACAATCATTGCAAAATGTGATTTGTGTTGTTAATAGATGTCCATTCCGCCCACCTTTCAGTGGACTGACTGTTTCTGCTTGACCATAAAGCTGGACACGTGGTCGATATTATATATATATAGCCAGTGGTCAACTGGTCATGCTGTCTTATAGGATCACCCCAAGTTGGGATAGAGATTGAGTAGGTAGAAAGAAGGCATACCGTGAAACCAGTTTAAAAGGATTTGTGTGTTAGTTCGATGTAGCGGGCGTTTTTTCCCTCTTTTATTATATGGACCGATTCCATAATGGCTGGTAATCTCAACTAAAAATAAGGGTGAGATGAGTAAACGTGAATGTAATTGTTCCTACAGTGAAACTTTACAAAATATCAGATATTTGTTGTTGACAGGATTCAATTTTTTAGCATTAGACCTGTAAAGTAAAATACATCAGAATATCGTTATCAGAATAGTCACTTTTTATATATGTTCTGGTTCCCACGAAAAGGGATATCCTGTAATGTTCAGAGAACATCGTGAGAACCAAGAGAAATAAGGTAGGAATTGGTGTTCTTCTTGAATTTCTGGAAGTTATATGCCTCGGGAAACCCCTCCCTTGGCAATGTGTTCCAGAGCCTCGCTGTTCGTTGGATAAACGAGTCATTGGAAAGAGATGTTCTGCAGGTCTCCAAAGTGACCACGAAGGGGTGCGAAGCCTCAACTCGACGGGTTAATCTCGCGGGGAATGCCAAGGGAGGAACAATTATTGATATTTCATTAGAGCACCGTCCATGAAAATATCTATAAAATAGAGCCAGATCCCAGATCGCCAACTTTTCTACGGTGTTTCAAAGAAGTGAGTGAGTTTGTGAGCGAGGCATTACCCACGAGACGAATTGCCCTTTTTGCCCAGTTTTTGGGATGCACTTTTAGCAATTGATCTAACGTGATGTTTCCAAGAAAGGTTATTGCTGATAGTAATACCAAGCATCGAAATGGATGTCTTCAAAGGTATGGTTACTCCTGATACAAGCTTATATATATGTTGGGTACAGTGAGATCGGCTTTTCTAGAGAAAAGCCATGCTTGTGTTTATATTAGATGGAAAATCAAATATGAAATTAAAATCAGAATTGAATTCTGAGATGTCACTCATGTGGTATCATTGGGTTCAGAAAAAAATGCAGAATTTTAAAATGCAACCCAGCAAACATATATCGAGAGGGCCTCTTTAACGATCAATTCCGGGATGGATGATAAACAAACATAATAAATATGCGTACATCATCACATTCTTCTAAATCATTTAAAACTGCGTAAATTGTTATACTTACATTGTTAGTACCTCTTTTGGTCATGTATTCGAAAGATTGGGGTAATTCTATATCGAAATAAGGTGTTGAAATGAAGATTCAACTATTCAACTCAAAAGTAGACGCACGTGCTTGCATAAAACGACTTTTGATGACTGATCAAAAACGAAAACAAAAGCAGGAGCCCTAAGATGGCAAAGTGAAAGAAACTGTGTGGCAAAATGTACATCTATTTGGCGTCTGTATAGCAATGTGTAGTGTTATTTGGCATCAACCAATTAGAAAGGGTAGATACTGGTCGTTTGCCAAATCCATGTCGTATGGCTATTCATGTTTGCTGAGAATGATAGGAGGCCTGTTCGTTTGTGCTTGCTTTACCTGCTGAGCTTGGATTTATTTTCATGACTTTTCCTGTTTACATCATTCCATGAACAGAGACAACTATGGGAAAGAAATCAAATTTGGCAAGTTTATAGCAATACAAACGATAAGGCCTAGGGTTTTCTATTTGAAAATTAAAAGTTGTTACAATACTTCTTTTGAAACCGGAAATGGAAAATCTAACATATTTATGTCAAAATGTGACATATTTATAGAGTTAATGGGCTATTCCAAATTTCAATCACTTATCTTTGAAACTAAAGGGAAAAAATTATCCTGTTACGTGCTGATAATGCAGTGACTCATAAGACTATATATCCATCTCATGATTATATCAATCCAATGAGTGCACATAAGTTTGTTGAAAAAATAAAATGTTTAATAAAAATAAAATATGAGCAGTACATGTATATGTATATAGTATAACATTACGCAGAAATATAAAACCTAAAGAAAATATTTCGGATTTGAGAGCTATTGTTGCAAATCTTCTTAGTTTGAAAACTCAAACTATACAATCACAAGTTAGCAACTTCGGCAAAAAATAGTCTCCCAGCGAACCAATTCCGGTGTTTTCCTTGATGTTATTTCTAGCGAAATATTCCAAAGAATACATGCTTACTAACAAACCTGACCCAAAGCTGAGCAGATACCAAAAAAGGACATTCAAAACTGTCGTTTTCGGCACTTTGACAAAACTCAAAACCGAGGCACCAAACAAAAAACTGAAGAAAAGTGCCGGAAAGAAGAAACCAAACATGTATATCAGTACCCATTCGTGCACCAAAGCTGACAGAGTGAACACAGCAACTTTAGCCAATATCTTGTTCCCGTTGCTCAACTCGAAGATATCTTTGTACACAAAAGTATAGAGCCAATCTTGTACCAGCAAGTTCCACGTTCTGAAATAATCTGAGAAGGAAGTGCTAGTCCACCAGTCCTTGTAGAATAATCTGTCGCCAAAGCACAGTAGCTCAGCAAAGAGATTTTGCACCGAGTGCAAAATGAGGTAGAAACCGGAGATTTTCAATAAAAGTCCTGGGATCGAGTTCTCGAACACTGCGACGATGATTTCGTTCCAGGTGAACTTCCTCAGTCCGAAGTCCTTAAACGGTGGTATGAAGAACTTGTGGAATATGAAGCTGTGGTACAATATCACTGCGGCTATTTCTAATGCTCTGTAAATAACGAATTTCCATCGGATCTCTTTCGTTCTGAAATAGAAAAAAATATTAGCCTCCGAAGTTTCATCCGGGAAGCAACGAATTTGACAGGTAATCTCAATTCTGAGAAGCTTGTGAACAATCCACCATTTATCGAGAATAGATGTGATTTTTTTCTTATAATTTATAATAGGTGGTCTCCACAATTTCATTATCGACTTCGTGTTCACCGTTGGGAAATATGTGAGTATATCATTCAAAATTATCAGATTAGTTCAAGTTACCTTGGGTATTCGTTTCTGTATATTAATGTTGGAGCGAACAGAAAATACACAAATTTGGAAAATTTGAGCTCTGGCATGTCCATATCACTGTGTGCTTTGAATTTTACAACTTGTTCAGCATTTATACGGATGAAAGCATGCAACTTCATCAACATTCTCACCTGAAATGATAGAAAGTGAGTCTTACACATTTTTGGTAGAGACAACATTGAAAAATATTATTCCACACGAAAATAATTTATAGGTAGGTACGATTCCCGAATGTTATTTTTCTTAGGTAAGTACCTATAAAGCCTTTATGTGAGTTACGTCGATAGAAACTCCAAATTCTCTGAGAAATGAGGCAATTTATATAAGTAGTGCGGTTATGAACATAAAACGAATATTCTGTTAGGCTCCGCCCACCTGTTGGCCGTTAATTTTCCGAAAGAAATAATGACAACTGAATTTGAAACACAGCTTATCATTTACCTGCTCAAGAAGAACAATTGCAGCTGAAGCTGGTGGAAGTTTGAAAGCGGTAACTATAAAAGATGCTAATCTGAAAGAGAACCCATAGTAGCCCAATACCGAAAGCAACCACAGAGCGTCCCACATTCTGTATGTTGATGCTGAAAATCGTTTAATTATGAGGGTGTTTTTTTCAGTGACTATATACACTTTGAGCATACTATATATACTTACATTTTGGTGGAAAATTAACCCTTACTTTCGCCCACATATTGAAGGCATAATAGCAGAAACATGTTAGTGATAAGAATGCTAGCCAGACGAATATAACAATATGAATATTTCTGAAACCGGTATAAATTAGATGCATTCCCAGATTGATCCTGAAACAACACAAAAATATTTATTCGCCTCAAGATTTTTAAGCCAATTCTTTTCGACAATAATTGATAAATCATTTGAAAAATGACTGGTAAATATATTTTTTTGTTGATTTATTCAGATTATAGTTCATATGGGGTGTTTTTCCAATTATGTGCACGAATGACTAATTTTAATTCACTTGGACATTGTAAAAGAAATGTTTTTCTCAGTCCCCAAAATTGAACCATGGTATAATAATTCCTTTGAAACACTTTTATTTATTACCAGCTGTCCGGCCCAGCTTCGCATTGGGAAAAAATAAGACGTTTGTTGCAGTCGTTCTGAGCTATGCGTGTATCTACAGAGTACATATAATCAAAAGGCTATAGCTACTATTGTATACTCACACCAATTTTCATTCTCTCAGTATCTTTTGTATTTTTTTTTTGATGATTTAATTATTACAAATGTCTACCCAATCGGTTCAGCCGTTTAGAAGATGATTACCACGGTAAAAAGTAGCCTATATATAATGTCGGCTTCTAATTTAATTTTTCAAATCGGTACAGTAGTTTCGGAGCTGTTTCAATTCAATTTTTCCTCTTTACAATTAACATTAGTGAGATTAGTAGATTTCTAGAAAATACACTATTATTATTATATTTTCTACTTTTTCATTTGGCAATCTATAAAAGCCACATAGGATCAGCCATCTTGAAGTTCCTAATTTTGACGAAGGAATCATAATCCCCAATCTCGAAAATCTTAAGATACCAGTTTTGAATTGTATCGGATAATTACAAAACTCTTCCGAGTCTCCCGTCACATATTGGATCCGCTATCTTGAATTTACAAATTTTCACGAAGTTATTATAATCTATTTCCCCGCAAACCCCCAAATACAAATTTTAAGTAGAATCGGACCATAATTAGAAAACTCGTCCGCCATATTGGATCCGCCATCTTGAATTTCCGAATTTTGACGGAAGAATCATAATCTACAACCCTGAAAACTCTCAGATGTCAATTTTGAATAGAATATATCATTATCACAAAATCTGCCATATTGGATCCGCCATCTTGAATTTCCTAATACCATGGTGGCAGAGTGACATCCAATCGATGTCATTTTTTGGTAGTAAAATGCTAATGATTCTTCTTATTTGGTCGAATGGAAGGATATATAACTATATGTAGGGACGTCATTATATAGGACCTCCAGTAATAAACTTCAATTCATTTTAAGGTTATATTTTGGTCAAAAGACGATGTGGACCAAATATGACGTTAAATCAATATGACGTATTTTTATGAGGTCACTGCTACCTGATGGGTAGTATCAGTATACACAGTATCCTATATGTCCGTTTCCTGGTTCTAAGCTATTACCTCCCCACCAATTTTCAACAAATCTTTCCTTATATATAGGGTGATTCAAAATTCGATGTAAATATTTCAAGGATGTATTGTTGGGATCAAAGAAGAATCACCCTGTATAATACTAGTTACATACCTATAGATTGTTATAGATTGTATACTTACTCATTATGTATAAAATAATCGTGAACGACAGTGTTGACGAACAAACATATCAACGTTGCCACGAATATGTGATGAATGGTTTCTATATGGGGTATTTTCTCGAACAGATCTGTCAGTAATGAATTTCTGAGTTCGAATTGTTTTTCTTTTAGTTGCCTGCATTTTAATCCCCTAAAACACATCGAAGTATTCGTCAATTCAACAATTTTTTTGAAAATTTACTGGATGGTTTTGTAACATAATCAATGTTTTTGCACAGAAAAAATTCAAGGATTGATTCCAGGGTAGGTATATATATTTCCATGAAAGATCGTTTTTTTATTCATTAGTCAATTGTCTTTCCATCAATTTAAAAAAACGTTGTGGTTTTGTTAATAGTAATATGGAGCTTCTTCTGGTGCAATTAGATTTGAAATAATATTTCCAGTGGCGTCACAGTGGGTAAATTTATCGATATTTATATGGTGAATGTCATTGTACGCCACTGGTTTTTCTGAGTTTCATATTTTTATTAGATTGAACTATTGAAATAACAACTTTTTTCCCCTCTGTGTGATTTTTGTATCTAGTTAATTTTTTGAGGAAACAATAAAAATTCGATTTGACTCCAAAGGACCCCGCACTTTTTCTATATGAAAATGGCGTTCTGTCGAATTTCCTGAATTTCTGTTATATTATAGAACTCGACCTAATGATTTTGAGATACAGGGTGTTGAAGTTGAGAAATGCCCCCTTTTCATCTATCCATATCTCCAAGAAAAGACAAATGAATCAGAATTTCCTGCTAGCAGTTTTTCAGTTTAACCTTTAGGTAGAAGAACCATGTACAGAATCAACCAAAGATGATCTTTATCACAGGATGATTCACTTCTGAATTTTATTGTGTTATTTTCAATTTCTAAATATCGATACTACACCTTGAAAAAAATTAAAAAATCAAAATTATCATTCGATTTGTTCTTCTTACATGAAATCGATTCATTTTATAAATTGATGAAGGTGTTTTCAATACTTCCATTACATTACTCAATAACCCCAATTACAATCATTTTGAAATTTTGGGGCTCTCTCAGTCTCCAACCATACTAAATTTTGGCACCATGAAAGCTTATACAGGGGGGTTGAGAATAAAAGCAATTAATACTTTCAACTCCAACATCCTGTATCTCAAACACGGAGCAATAAGTTAGGACACATGTTTATATGAACTTTATTCGCTAGAATATCACAAGGCGAATCGCCACTTGGATTTCTTCGGCGTTATTTAGATACACCCTGTATATCGTTATTTGATATATCGATATTTTTAACCTGACCCATTGTGAATTCAAAGCCATCATATGGAAATTTCGAACCAAAAATATCTTTGTGATCGTTTGAACTAATCCCATCAAACCCGCTATCGTTATGTAATAAAGTACTGGTTATCCCAATTAGAAATCAAAGGTTGGGGTCATTTCCGGTGAAACCGGGAGTGATTGAACAAAAATAATTTCGTCATTTAATGAGGAATGATTCAGAAGATACAGCATTGGCCGTTTTTGTGCACTTCTCTGTATACAGTGTGTCCACTATAAGAACTTTTCACCCCTCTAAAATCGTTATTTTCTGATCGATTTCGTAAAACTTTTTTTTGTTTCATAGGTGTTTGAAATGTCCATCCAACAAGGCAGTGATTTTATTCTTGGACTTGACCAACTGCGACTATTTTATTAACCCATATTTCAAAATGTACTGTTTTCACTAAAAACAATGATGTATTCTGAATCAGGATAATTTAGAACATATCTATAGCGATTTTCATCATCATAAAACAAAGGGTGTATATTTTTTTTAATGCATGAACAGAAAATGTTTAATAGGTACTGCGGTATTTTTGGGAAGAATAATTACAAATGATTATTGAGGACCACTTCAAATATATCTGTGTCTGAGAAAAAAATAAAAATGGAAACGTGAACATTTTTTTTTATCGGGAGTAAATACATGTTACATGTACAGGCTCGAGCGATTTTTTCTACTTCCCTTGATTCTCATTTGTTCTCAGAATATAAATAATTTATTAAAAAATAATAATAATTCGTTTTTTTTTTCGGTCACCCTGTGTTTTATGATGATGAAAATCGGTACAGGTATGTTTTTAATCATCCTGGTTCAGAGTCCAGCATTATTTTTAATAAAAAAAGTACTTCTTGAAAGAATGAAATCACTTATTGTTGATGGACATTTCGAATACCTATACAACAAAAAACAAGTTTTTGGAAATCGATCAGATATATAACGATTCAACAGGCCGGGGGGATTAAGTTCTTAGAGTGGACAACAATACTTTATATAATTACATGTATAGAGAGGTTCACAGTGACCATATAAAGACAACTTTGAAGCGAGTATCACACATATACAACAAGCATATTTAATATTTTGTGGATGCATACTTACATAGTTTCAATGGGGCTATATTCTCGTTCTTTCCCATTGATATTTTCATTTTTATTGCTTATACTCATTATTATAATGATGATTTCATTCTCTGGAATTGCAGAACAAAAACAAACACAAGTATTATTATCCTTTAACATAAATAACATCGTATGTCATGTAATTCATATTGATAAATATTTATTTGATATGATTTCGGTTTATCTCTTGCAAATTCAAATATCATTAGTCGGGGATTTTGATGACCCGCATAAATAATTTCATTATTATATTTCTACTCTTGTACCTACTTACCTAATTTTGAATTTGAATTGAAAAACTAACCTCTATCGATAAACACTGCAAACTACTGGATCCTTCAGTAGTCTTTAGACAAACAAAATCTTGAAACTGTGTGTAGGTATACCTTATCATTCAGTGTATATTTATCAAAACAGTTGCCACCCTATGAGCACTTTCCTCACGCACAATAATAATAGATAGAACCAACCTATTCAGAGAATCTCATCTCTGCCTTTTAGGTACCTACCTACTTGATTTTTTAGCCTGTTATCACTTTTATCAAAGGTCGGGCGACAAAAAGTTGAAATTGTGATCTTTCTATTTATAAGGTCAATGGTACGAGATGATCTATAGTAAGTGCTATTGCACTCAAGTACATATCTTTTCTAGGATAATAAATTGTCGCACATCGTCGTACTCATAAGTTTTTGTAGAGGGAGTGAAAAATAAAAATTGACTCGAAAAGGTACTGCTAAGTTTGGAGTTACGTGACGTAGGTATAGAATGAATTTACCGCGTGTATTCAGATCTTTGCTCCTAGCAAACAATTTTGATCGGCCTTATGCTGGCCGATAATATATGCAGATCAGAATTGGCCACAACTGCAGAATTCCTGTGAACGTTGATGGGTCAGTACTAACATCAGGAGACTCTGGCCGTCATCAGGGCCGATACATTAAAAAAAAAAGACCGCAACAGGATTCGAACCCTGGTCCTCCGCTATCACTTGGTTACAAATCAAACTCATTTCAACAGAGCTACTACACCTTTCTTGAAATGATATATATGTATATGGATTTTTTTGTGGATAACTTTCGAATAGGAATATTTATTCATTGATAATTATCATTATCATAACAAATCTTACAAACGATGAAGAAGGGTAAACATCCGATTCATCCGAACGGCTGTAATATCCTATCATTCTTCCAACTTTGATAGTTAATATCTTCTGTTGGCGAAAAGCTATCATGTTGCGGTTTTCATTGTTCTGTTGAGATTTAGTTTCTCTATTACATCATGCAATGATTTGCGTACCATCAGATTTATTCTATCTCAAACTTGTATCATTATTCGTTGCTGAGATATTGCCGATAGCCGTTCTTATTAGTTGTTCACCGGGTACTTGGTTGTTATGTATGCTCCATAATATTAACTGGCCATCGACCTTACGGAGGTCTTTATTCAGCTAATGAAGTGTTCTGTGTAGGCTTTGTTACTAGCGAGGCGTTCTTTAAAATAAGCATAGTAGGGTTTACCAATTAGAAAAAATAATTTAGACGCACCTTGGTAGTATTACCAAAGGTGACAGGACCTATACTATACCTACTCAATAGGCCGGTTTCAGTAAAAAAAAATCATTTCGTCATTTCGAAGTACTAAACCCTAATTAGTATACTGTCGTTAGCCGTTTTTTCCTGAGATTTTTTTAATAATTATTGAAATTCACGATATTTCATGACATGAAAAACGCAGGAAATCACCCGTGAACAATCCAATGCAATCATATAAGATTCGACTAACGTAGGCATTTTCTATGCCTGATAGGTAATTTTTTATCAAAATAAGAAATACATTTTCAGAATGATTACTTAATGCAGATAACTCAACACACAACTTTATCATCAGATAATCTGTGGATTATTTTTTATCAAAATAAGAAATGCATTTTTCGAATGATTACTCAATGCAGATAACAGAGAATTCAACACACAACTTAATTATCAGCTAATCTGAGGATTATTTTTTATCAAAATAAGAAATGCATCTTTAGAATGATTACTAAATGCAGGTAACAGAGAACTTGACACACAACTGAAGAATCAGATAATTTGAGGATTATTTTTGAATATTATTCGCATCTTGATTATATGAAACAAGGATTCGAAGATGAAGGTGGCAAACGATATAGACGTTAGGAAGTTAGGTTGACAATGTAGTTCGTCTTCTTCTTCTCTTCCTGTATTTCTGGCAACTCTAGGCATTACGCTGTTGCCAGGGCTACAAAATTTGGTTTAAATAACATCTCAATGATTATTAGGAATACTAGGATATTTGTATTGGTACTGAAGTATATCACAAGTATATGAGTATTCAATAAGTGGTTTTTAGGGACCAGGTCGGATCATTATTTTCTGTGAATGTGAATATTGATATCTCATTGGTCATATTGAATCTCATGAATGATTACTAGTTACAAAACTGGCAACGTCGAAATATGTGGTCCTCCTTTTTATGTCAGCATTCAGACGATGACTTTCGGTTCTAGATGTCATGAAAGGCGCCAAATTTCATTTTTGAAACAAATATATTGCGATGATTTTCAATAACGAATGATTGCATCAAATGCTATTTATACATGGAATGATGAATATTAAATAGATATGTGGCGTGAATTCGACTAGTGTGAACCCATGACTTTTTTAAATGTTTAAGCAGTGCTCACAAAAGTGTGAACTTTTAAATCAATCATTTCTAAAGTTCAATAAAATCATCAGCTGAACAATGATTCGATAAGTTGACATGAAAAACAACGCGAAATAAATTCATTCCACATGCAGAACATGGAGAGAAGAGGGGATAATCAATCCTATGGATCTTGTATGGGATCATCAAATTCACAAATAAAAAGGTTTCGAAATAAATAAAATAAAGGAATGCTTATTCCACATCCAAGATCAAGTCATTTTTTAATATGTATAGTTAATGCACAAATCACATTTTCGAACCATACAATACAATAATACTCATATAACTAGAATATTAACATCAATCATCATCCATTCTTTGCCTCGTATTTCTTTTGGCACCTGCAACCACTTTCCTTTTCTTGAATTTACTGCACTCTCCAAACGTTTCGAGACTCTCTACGGTCTTTTCTTTAAACTCTTTCGCTATTGGTTCTGGCTCATACACTACAGGGCATTCGAATTGGTCGTGTCTCGCGGGAAGCTGTAGATCCAGATTTTTACTGAAAACAATTGAAAACAAAATAAGGATTCGTTGAAAAATCAAAATGAAACGTTTCAGACCTTTCTTTGATTGTTTCCCATTTCCCGTAGGGATCATTTTTTCCAGGGTCGATGATTGGACCATATACTGGTTCAGGAATATCATCGGCAACTCTTCGTTCCTTCATTTTCTCTCGAGCTAACCTTGCTTTCTCTTCTTTATCATCTGCTTTTTGTTCTTGCACCCTATTAAAACAAGTTGAATAATCTAAACTGGAGAAAATATACAGAGAAGTGCACAACAAACGGCCAGGACTGTAAATTTTGAATTATTTGAGATAGGGTTATGAAAATTTGTAGGCAGCTAGTATACCGAATTGCTCATTAAATGACGAAACAATTTTTGTTCTAAAATTTCCTGTTTTACTGGAAACGACGCCAACTTTTCATTTTTAAATGGTCAATGAGTGTGTGTGTGTACAATACAGGGTGTTCCAATTAAAAATCAAAAGTTGGGGTCGTTTCCGGTAAAATTGGAAGTTATAGAAGGAAAATTGTTTCATCAATAAATGGCAGTGCCGGATTTATACTCCCTTACGCCGGGGGCTAACTTTTACGATGCCGCCGCGCCGCCGCCAAATATTTAATTATCAATGGGCTTGTATCACAAAAAAATTTTATTCCATAATTCGATAGAACTCACCCAAACTAGCTCACCACAGCAAACCGTTTATCGCTGTGAGCTCCCTACGTTTTATAAAAAATTATTGAAATCCCCGATTTTTCGGACCTCTGAAAACGAGATGATGATGTGACGTCAAAACCCTAATACTGAAACAGGACTATTCCAGACAGAGATGAATGATACATGATTTCAGGCAGAGTGAGTTAGCGCGAGATCACAGTTGAAAGAATTAATATATCAGTTGCCTCAGTCTCCGTCCGGAGTTTGGTATTTTCTTTTAACTATGGCGAGATGAGGTTTCTACGTCATAAGAGGGTCCGTTTTCAGATGGTACTATTATTTATGTCCAAAAATTGAACATTCCAGTAAATTTTTCGATCGAATTATGTTGTCAATCATTATTTATGTATGAAAGGATCATTATAAACATGGTTTGAGTTAAAAGTTCTACCACGGTGTACACGCCCATTGTCAGTTTCAAAATTCAAATAACCCTTTCACTGCTTTTTTTACAGTATATAACAATAACATGAAATCATTATGTACAACGAATCAAATTATATTTACTTCACACGTTGAACATAACAACAAACAACACATATTTTTTTCAGATGAATACTACAATAATTTTCTTGATTTTTTTGATGCAAAGTCGTCAATGGCAACATCAAAATTCAGATTTAATAACATCTCACTGTTAATACTTGAAATAGATGATATTCAACATATCCTCTACCATGGAATTCCTAAGGTAGTTTTTCACTCTGTTGAGAATGACCTTTAACCATACTGGCATTACGAATCATCAGTGATAGTAAAAAACTTCTCAGTAATTGCCAATATTCAATGAATTTGTTGTGATTATCCCTAAAACAACGCTTAGTCGTGTTCATATTCTGATCATCTATTTTTGAGATTCTAACTCTTCTTTTTCGCGTATTGAATTTAAAAATATATGAAACTTACCATTCCTGTCTTGAGATCGTGAAGTTCCCAGAGATGGTTCTATCGGTTCTGATACTGTCTCATTCGAATTTAGAAAAAATGAATGTTTTTTAGGGCATTTCTTGACAACTTCGTCTAACTAATTCTGTTTATTAATCTTCTGCCGTTTGCAGAATGCACCACCTTTTTACTCATTTTTTTAAATTTAAGTTTCAATATTTATTTATTATTAGTACCATTACCAACAATACCAAGGACAACAACTCTGATTTTGTTTTTTGTTATTGAGTTAGATGAGTAGAATGCGGTTTTTCTTCTCATCATCAAATAAAAGTATATACCGCCGCCGCTTTTGTATTGTAGCGTCCAAGACCGTTACCATCGAGATTATCGATGGTAAAGCCAAGACGCAGCTGACGCTAGATTAGTGCATGTTATGATTTTCACAAAAACAGTATCTCAACCAGTAAAAGACCGTATTGCTGCTTGCTGTTCCTCTTTTCTTTTTCTCTACCGCCTCTTGAAATTCACCGCCGGGGACTGATAGTCCCATAGCCCCTCCTAAATCCGGCACTGATAAATGGGCAATTTGGTTTACTTGCTACCCAGTAATTTTCAAAACCCTACCTCGAATGATTCAAAAGTTACAGTCCTGACGCTTTTTTGTGCACTTCTCTGTATGTTAAGGTGATGTTGTTACCTTTGCAAGGCCTCAATTTTTCTTTGTTTATCCACTTCCTTCAGTTGTTTAGCTGTTTCTTTATCTAGCTCTTCTCTTTGTTCTTTTATAGTCAAATAACCCTCAACTGGTGGTTCCCAGACAGTCTCTGAATCAATTTCAAATCAACTTTAGTAAAAAATATCAAGTGGTTAACAAACCTTACCATTTGTCAAAGTGTTCCAATAATAAATGTTTCCCTCTTTGGATTTGAGTTCTTGCCATATTTTTTTGCCAGATCCGCTGATAGCTAAATTTTCATCTTCTAGTTTTTTCGCGATAGCTATGGATGTCAAATCAGCACTAGAGTTGTTTTCGACATCTCGTCTATAGGCTGCCATTGCGGCAGCCTCCATATGCCTGATGGCAGCGTCAACATTTTCGGAATCTTTCTGAGACTTTGCACTTGATTTTGTTATGCTCTTTAGGCGTTTTTTCACGTTTTCTTGATGTCTACGGCCTTTCTCGTGGAAGTCAACGCTCTAGTTTTAAAAAATGTACGATTAAAATCAAAATACAGTCTTTGTCTCATCAATATTTTGACTACCTATACCTACTTTGCTTTTTTCAACTATGAAACCAAAACAATAATTGAGAAATAACTACTAAAGTCCGATCAGGGTAACTCTGGTACAGCACGTGGTCACGTACCTATGCATTGAATATGCATAAGCGTTGAATCAGGTGGTGTCCCAAAGTTAACCTGATTTTCTATGCTAAACATTCATTTCTCTTTTATTTATTCTGTTCGTTTTCTTCGATATATACGAGTATGTCCCTACACAATATAAGCGGGTATTTTTTGAATCCAGTTAGGTACTATCAGAGGAAGATGGGAATTGACTATCCGATTTTGGTTTGAGCATTAAATTTGGAAGATATGAAAGTGTAAAGAAAAACGTATCGATCAAATTTTGAATAAGTTGTTAAATTCGTAACTGGCCCAGTTTTCTTCAGTTTTTGATTAGTGTTTTTATAAAAAAATTTAAAAAATACAGTCAACGGTCATATCTATAATTTGAAGAAACACGAAATGGACACTAACAATTATCAAAGTTGTGTTCACATTGAAATTTGGTATAGGTAATATACTTACAGGCTTGTTATCAGCTATCCAACATTTGCAAAAGTCGCAGTATTTTCTTTCCTGAGATTTCCAGTAATCAGCCCTGGTCACGTAAAAAAAACGAGGAAATTACTGTTTTATTCATTTTTAATTCCAACAATCCAATATCCATGCTATTAGGAACTAATGGTAAGTATATGAGTTGAATGTATACAGAATGAGGAGCCTATCAGTAATGCTTTTCGTTCATATCATTTTTGTTTTTATTTTTTTGGAGATTAAGATCACCTCTGATCAATTAACGAAAAACAAAATGGAGTAGACCCTGTTTGTCACGTCACTACCACTAGATTATGCATAATTATGTAAACAGATAAATTCTGATTACATAGAGGTATATCAATCAAAATACAAATTTAGAGTTAACAGGCAGATTCAATTGGTATTCCAACTTGAATGTGAAAGTTGGGAATGCCAATTTCACAATGTAGGTATTTATTGTTTTTACCTCGAAAAGAACACAACAAGAAATGACACATAGGAATTCATAACCTATATTATCCTACATAATATTCTCAATTTTTTTTGCAATAGAGAACCAAACATGAGAAGTGTATCATCCAAAAATAAAATAGTGCAATATTTGCAAATGAAATTGTTTAGTTGTCATTGATCATGTTCATGTCCATCCAAAAATAGTTTGGAATCTTTTATTACCTGTTACAAAAATAAATCAAAGCAGAACAATAGCAGTGTTTGAAAGTTACGGTTACATAAAACCGTTGATCAAACGCAAAAACTGTAAACGTTAGAAATATTAATAGTTGTCAACAAATGATTATAACAGATTGAGTGTGATGTCTTTCTTACAATTTGTTGAAAAAAATCAACAACAAAAAAATGACTAGAATAGAAATATATATCACTTATGCCTAATATATTCTGAACTCTGATCCTACTTCGTAATTTGTACCAGAAAGGAAAGAATGATAATATTAAAATATAGAGAGGTAATATAATGTTAAATGCTATTCTAGTGCTCCATCTTTCTAACGACCACACAATCGAATGAATAAACTCTAGTATACTTAGTATACTTAAAAAATAACAGGGGTATTCGGGATCTCAATATCCCTCTTCGTATATCAATTTGGTGAGCATAGGAAGGGATATATACTACGATTCTGGAATACCCCAAGTTGTTTCAAATGAAGATGGTGATAAACACTAAAAATTCGCATTTTTTTTTTTGTTTCAAGCGAAAACTAATAATTTGTCAATCGATTATAATATAGAACTGTATTTTCTTTGATATTTTATGTACCTTCCTAATACTCCCGTATATCAAACAAATCTTATATTGAACCCATTTTTCAGAAGATATGATATTTATAAAGTTTCCGGCAATATTTCAAAGACGTTATACTATATTATTATTCCTTTGTACGGATGCCAAGAAAATTTAACAAGAATGAAAATTAATTTCACACCTATCTCAATTTATAGCTTGAGGTATATGTGCCAAATTTTTTTCTCGAATTTACGTTGATATCATTTATTTTTAGCAAAAGTAGAATACTAGATATACACAATGGTACCTATTAATTTCAACGTTATAGTGTAAATACGAAACAGGTGGTTACTATATCTGGTAATTTGTTCAAGAAGGCAGTAAGCATATCTATCAGTTGCAAATATGAATATGGAAGTTCTTTATAATAAAAATGTTTCATATTTTCACGAAAGTTGAGTAGATAATATTCATCTAATCCGACCATTAAGAAATGAATAACGGTATTTCATTAGTATCCAATCTTAAACTTAAGCATGGCATACAAATTGAAAAATACAGTTGATAATCTGAACCATATAGATTCAAGACTATCTATATTATAAAAACCATACATTTCTCGCAATCTGCATATACATAATATAGACATCCAGAGGAAATTGGTATTCTTTATCACAGATAGGGTAATTATATCAGACTAGATACATAAGGAATATGGTCGCCTATATACTTCGTGACTGGCATAATATATGCAAAATTACTATAAGGTCACTTAAACTTTGGTCACCTCTAGGAGAATAGGGTAGTGGATATTATCATCATAATCACAATTGGCCAACAGTGTTTGGCGCCTCTCCCACACAACCTTACTATACGTGAGTATTTTCTTACACATGAACCCTTTGGCCTCTGACTGATTGATGAATTGGTCGAGAGTGTTGCCCCTTTGAGGGGCCATAATAAAGGCGATCCCATCGTCAGCCAAATAAGACCAAAGGCATTCTATCAAATCAGATCTGGCATCGTCGAAAAATAAACAGTCGGCACAAAGAATCACATCGTATTGATCAATAGAAGCGATTGTTGACCACTTTACTACATAGCATCGGGGGTCTACGTTGAATTTGTTGCATTTTAATGTAGCTTGGACGTTTTCTACGGAAAGTTTGTTACCATCTGTCACCGTTACATTTTTCGCGTTTCCGTATTTAGCAACGAAAAGCCCCGCTAGGCAAGACATACCTCCCCCTAATTCTAAAATGCATTTATCGCGGAATTTATACAAGTTTGAGCAAACGTAGTAGCTGAGGGTTTCCTCTGAAGGCCATATGCAGACGTTGCCTGTATTATTGAAACCCATGAGGTCTTCAGCGGAAAAGGTTCGGTTTCTGTGGCCTACGTTTATGAAGAATTCAACGTCGTTAATGCATACAGAGTATTTGTACCAGGTGCGTTTGGTGATTTGGTCGCTATATTGATGTTCTGTTGATGCTACTGGTATAGTAGCTAGTTCTTGTGTTTTCAACAGCATGAAGGATGAAATTCGACGTAGAGAGAATTCATCGGTTGGGCTTGAAGGTTGACTTTCCGTGGGACTCTGTCAAATTTCAAATAACGATATGATAATAATAGTGAAGTCATGATGAGAGTAAATCAAATGAAAATGTTACTGATTTTCATCAACATATCATATTTTTATGAAAAGAAAAATTTTTTTGTTATAGACAAGGTGAACATGTGCAAAATAAACTATTCTTAATTACTCAAAACTATTATCAATTTGGTGGATCCATTTAAATTTTTCCCAAAATGTTGATGTTTTCTTGGCCTAGGAGCTTACAACAACTCGGTCCATATCATATATTTTTTTTTATTGTTAGGACTTTTCTCCAGCTCATCATTGAAATCTGCCATATTCATTTTAGCTTGGCACCTACATGGAAATGTAATTATTATTCTTTCAAAAGGTGGTAGTAGGCAGTGAGTCGGTAATTAATATGATGAATTCAAAAAAAAAATCTTATACAAACTTATAGGTATGGATAGACATATAATGATGTTGAAAATCAGCAAGAATACAGAGTTTTTCAAAATCTAGTATCAAGATTTCAGGTGCTCAGTTTTCGGATCAAAATAAAACATATTTTTTATGGACTTGTGTGCAAACGCTTTGTTACCGATCTACAGATGGAATTTAAAGATTTTTTTTTTAATACTTTCAGAATGAATTTTAAACATAGATTATATTTTAGGGTTCATATCATACATTATGCTGCTTATTGGTTGTAAGAATCTACAGAAAGAAATTTTTCCAGGGGCCAAGTCCTTTTTCGCTAGATAAAACTTTATTCCTTGAAAATATTAATTTTCTTCTCAAAAACGGTCGCAGTATGAGAAATTGAAAAGAAAACAAAGAATTTATTTAGTATTTCAGAATCAACTAGCAGTGCACCACTGAAAAGAAGAGAGAGCTATCAAATTTTTTTAAATCTTGTAACGGTAAAATTGCACTTATCATGTGATGTTCTGTTTTCGAAAATTCGTTTTTGTACACGAATTTGATAATGAGAATGTGAAGAAACCCACTATTAATCGAGATATTTCAGAAAAAAAGTTCTAAATTTCGCCTTATTCCCACTGGTGAATGCATTTACAGCTATACTTGCTCTTCTTATTTTGTCATTGGACACTTATTTATATTCTCATGATGTAGGTACTTCAAAGACACAGTTTTATATAGAAAAATCAACACGAAATATGATTTTGATGGCGAGTTTTCCATATTTAGTGAAAAATTATACCAGATGACGGCCATTTAGTCAATAAATCATGATCAATAATCAATCCAAATAGATTAATATTTTATTACTTTGAATGATATTCTTCCTTCTTTTCACTAAATTTGGATAAATCTCAACAAAAACTTATTTCTACTGTGTCATTGAAGTAAGTATACATTGTGGTATATAAAGTGTCCAATGATGGAGAAAGAATGGCAAATTGTTCTAAATGTGATCCAAAAGACAGGCAGAAAATAACTGGAAATTTGTAACTTTATATTGAAATATCTCAAAGAATAATGGTTTGTTCACATTTGCATTATCAAATTCGTGTTTTTCAGACAAAAATACGTAAGTACCAAAAAATTTAAAAAAAAACATCGCATGATAAGTGCAGTTTTGAAACTTGAAACTTCCATAGCTCTGTAGAATGGCAAGGAAGCTTTTGTAGACACAAGTCTATAGGAAAAAATCTTACTTTGGCATGTGCAATATCCCTCCCGAAATATTGATACCGCACTTATTTGGAAAACCCGGTATATTTTAGGAATCACTATAGCACTAAGCACATGCATAATTCCTGAAGTGAAAGCAAAAACACAAAACAACTCAAATCAAACATATAACAATTCACTATGTAGTACCTTTAGGGCTTTTGCCAAAATAGCCCACCTGCGGCGAGCCACTTTTTTCTTTTCATTGCCGAACTTCAAAACCTCTTGGAAATCAATACTGCATTTAGAATCTAATCCGAATATGTCATTAGTTTGGTCCATAGAATGAGCATAGCAATTAACAACTATAACTTGAGAGTTGTTGGAAATGCCTGAAAGGCAGTTATTGAATTATGACTCTGTCAAATTTCATTCCTTCATGCTCTTATTTGTTTATTTATGATACCTACTCCTACTACAGGGTTTCAATGAACGATCGAAAAGGTCGATTCTACAACAGTGAAAACTTACATGTTCCTCTCTCTCTTTCTACTAGATTCACGAGAGCTATGAAATACGAGTATTATTTATAACACCATTGGGTTAGCCAGTTGAAATAACGAAAATAAAGTGAAATATTTGGTGTATGGTGTGGCAATGCTGAACAAAAACAAAGCAGCACACCAGCTAGCCATAGAAATAAATTAGATTAGAAATGTCCCATCCCCACCACTTCTGCTGCTGCTTGCCCTGCAATCTGCATTCTGCTTCTGACGTCAACTTTCACGCATGCGCAAACAATTCCAACGCTGACATGGAACCACAATTTCAAATGTCAATCAATCTGACAGGAGTGACAAGTGACTAATAACTCGACAGTCCGTAGTCTATTCGAACTGTCGTTCATTTGTATGTGTTGAATTTGTGAAAGGTGTGACTACAATTTATATTTGTTTTTATTTACATGTATGTAATCACTTCAATTTGGAAGGTTTTAGTTCAGATTTACATGTTGATTTAGAATAATAAATAATTGTAATATGGCACAAGATACTACGATAAGAAAAAAGTGTAGGATATGCCTTCAAAGCCATGAGCAATACAGTTCATTTTTTGAACCTTGTCTAGGAGAATTGAGTATATCTCAACTATTGACAAACATGCTGAATTATAAGGTAATGTGTCTACATTTTAATATGTTTATGTTGTAATTTTTTTATTGTTACAGATTGTGGATGATCCTGAAATGCCCAGAATGATATGCCAGAGTTGTAACTCCATAATTATTAATTTCAGTAATCTTATGAAAGATTTTCAAGATAGGGAGGATTGCTTGAGGGAATCTCTCAGCAAAAAGGAAATCATATATATGGAAGAAAATGATTTTGATAATTATGTTGAATGTGAAACAGCACCATTTTATAAAGACAGTGATGAAGAAGATATTGATGATATGAATATCAAAAACTCATCCATTGAAAATGAATGCAAGGATGATCTTTTGAAAGATCAAGTCTCAGAACAGACTGAACTCAAAAAACCCTCTAGAATCTTTGATGAAGAGGGTAATGAAATAGTAAAATCAGTTAAATATTGTTGTGAACCTTGTGGAGACTGTTTCATCTTCAAATCAGGATTTAGTCAACATATGGTATCCAAACATAATAGGTATATTCTGGAAGATGAATTTTCAAACTTCACTACTGAAATAACACTCAAATTACCTGCTCCACCTACTGGAGATACAATTAAAATTGTGAAAAAAAATTACATAACTAAGAAGGGTAAATTTGATTGTCAGATATGCAAATTGGGTCTTCTGAATAAACCACAATTAAGAGAGCACTATAATGTTCATAAAACTCATGTGTGTGAACATTGTGGTGCTGCTTTTATAAAGAATTCATATCTTAGAGACCACTTACTAATGCATTCCACAGAGAAGAGGTTTACTTGTGATGTTTGTGGGAAAAAATTCAAATACAGAAATGGGCTGTTGGTGCATAAAAACATACATGTGAATTTCAGAGGATTCATGTGTGATTCCTGTGGACAAGGTTTCAATACAAGAAGTACTTTGTACACTCACATCAAACTGAAACATACCAATGAAAGGAATTTCTCCTGCCCAGAGTGTGACTTGACTTTCAAAGTGAAATCTTGGTTAGATAAACATTATAAGAGAAAACATACTGCGAACAGGACTAAAGACTTTGTGTGTGCTGTTTGTGGTGTAGCCTATTTGAATAAGACAACATTGACTCGTCATACAACTGAAAAACATACTGGAACACCTGTGAGACATTATTGCCATGTTTGTGAGAAGAGTTATTCCATGAAAACTAAGTTGAATATGCATTTGCAAAAGAAACATAACATTATCCTCAATAAGCTGAATCATACTACACTTTCATAGATAGACTTAGGTACTAGGGTGCTTACCTGCTTCCAAGTGACTATAGGTATATATATTGATTCAGGAAACCATTCATTTTGACTTGTAGACTGTCAATCAATAAAACAATCCATTTTTGTTTCATCTAGAATGTGGTTTATGTTCAGGATTGTTGAACGTTTTACATGCACCCTAAATAAAAAACAGTTTAAAAATGTTGGCCATCATCCACTGAATGAGGATCTTATTGTCCACTCCACTAGTTGCGTTTTATTTATCCGATTCCGCCACCGGAATCAGTTTGATGTGTCGTTTTATTTGTAAACGTCATTCTGTTCCCAGCACCGCTACCAGAATGGAACAAATAAAACGCAACTTATTTGTCCACTAAAAGATCAGGGTTGGTAGAACTGGTATACCAAAGGTGGATATATATTATTTCTTACTCCTGTCATATATTCTCCTCTACTACTACTACTAGGATCTTCTCCGTCAATGTAACAATGTTTCGTAAAGTTTCACATTGAGAGAAAAAGAAATGTTAAGTAAGTTGTTTGATTACTGAAAGAATGAAAGCTTTTCTATTTCTCCCATTCTTAAATTTTCTTTTCGAATATTTTCGATAAAACAAGCCATTACAGTAGCGCCAACGGGTGAGACTGAAGTGCCTAAATCTTTGGAACCATTCCCATCACGTGATATGAGATTCGTGTTAGTTATTATTTTTCGCAATAAAATTGTGGAGACAGAGTTTGGTCAGGAAGTTGTGTTCTGGTCCACTAATAGCTTGGCGTCAGCCCACTGTTACCATTTATGTAGTGATTTAGGCTTTCAAGAATGTTTTTCCTTTCTCTCGAGACCCCGGCTGTCCTTCACTGTGATCTCAACTGTGACCAATGAGGTTTGGGTTTGGTTCGAAAACTTTAGGCTCTCGTGAAGTTACCTGTCTTCAGTTGGCAATTCCAGCAATTCCTTTACGGATTTTGGTGCCAAAACTGAAAACAGTGAAAACTGCCAAATGAAGCACCGCCATACTTGGTACTCGTTTCTTGTTTGTGTTCAATCAGGTATAGAAAAAAGAAATCCAAGTTTGTGAAATAGTATGGTATGATCAGTAGGATGTAATGAAATAATTGTGGATAAGTTCATTTAGGAAGTATTTCTAATGTTTGTACATTATATTGGTTTTTTAGCGTGTGTCTGTACTGGGATATTTGATATTTGGGTCCTTTTTCATGATTCATGAAATAATCATTATAGTATCTCCGATTGTAAAAATGTCTTTCTCAATTTCTCAAGATAGATTCAATTCCACATAAATATATCATCATGATCATGATATTGATGAGCCTATCCTCAAACAACTTAATTCTGAAAATTGGATGGAAAAATCTATACAATAATAGTAATCACAATGGGTGACAATAATTGATGCAATAGTTGGTCATTATTTCAATGATTTTATTTCTATGAGAACCATTTTCACTTGGAAAAGCCCTAACATACAGACCATTATAATTAATGAATTCAAGTTAAATTTAGTTGAAATGATATTGAGTTGCTGAGACAACATAAATAAGCCACGTTTTTTAAAGGAATTGAAAGACTAAAATTGGATATAGGTACTAATATATATTATGTTTTCTTTGTAAATGCATCCTGAGGCCCTTTTTCAGTGTATACACTTTGAGTCCACAAATATTACAAGGGTACCTTTTGCCTTGTCCAAGATGTTTATCAGCAATATGCCTAGTCAATGTGGTTTTATTTAAATAAGCTACACCACATTTGTTGCAAATAAAACTTTTTTCTCTACCACCAGTATGTTTCCTGAGATGATGTTTATCAAGTGTGGACTTGAGATTGAATCTCATGCTACAAATGGAACAAACATAGTTCCTTTCATTGCTGTGTTTCAGGATCCTGTGAGTGACTAAGGTTCCCCTAGCCCTGAAACAAACACCACACTGTTCACAAATGTAGGGCTTGGCAGCAAGATGGATTTTTGTGTGCACACTCAAACTGTGTCTCTGCCTGAATGCTCTATTACACACTTTACAAACATATTTCTTCTCTTCAGAATGAACGGCAATATGGTCAGTGAGATAATTTTTTCTCAAGAATGCAGCACCACAATAGTGGCACACATGTGTCTTATGTATTTGTTCATGTGTCTTCACTTCTTCTATTGTGGGAAAACATTTTGTACATTTTCTACATTGCAACTTATTTCTTCTGGAACCCTTGGCAGGAACAAATTCCACAAGGGGAAGTCCTAATGGAATGACATATTTCACCTCTGAGGCATACTGTTCTAAATTCAGTTCTTCAGTCACTTTTTCATGTTTCTGTTGCAAATGTAGGCGAAAACCAGTTCTATATAAAAAAGTATCTCCACATTCACAAGTGTACTTCATTGTCTTAACTCTTTTGTATTCACCATTACCAATAATTTCTTCTTCAACAGGGGGTTCATTATTTGATAGTTCATACTCTATTTTAACACCATTTTCACCTGGATCATCCACATCACTAAGATTATCAGCAATACTGGAGCCAGTAGTCTCTTCATGTTCTTCATACTCTATCACATTGTCTAGTGTGTCATCCCCAAAATATTGTATGTTTCCTGTGATAGCATTGATAACATCATTTTCAACAATATTACTTGTAGCTATCAGTTCATTGTCATCTATATTATCACTTGGGTCCTCAGCTGAGTCCATTATGTTTTCCTCTTTGACTCTATCATATTTTGATTCCAATTCTAAGTCAGAGACTACTTTATTGAGGTATGCTTCAGTTTCTTGAAAAACTGATAGCATGTTATTGAAGTTGATGATAATGGCACTACAATTTTCACAAACATACTTGGATAATCGATCATCTTCTAGTATCTGTAGAACAAAAAATAATTTAATAGCAACATTTCCATAATATAATATAAAAATTGCAGAATGCAGACTCTAAGAAGATATACCTATTAAAAAGTTGAACTAATTGTATACTATTCAACTGCAACCATGAGATCAAAAATATTTAGGTACCTACCTAATTTTAATATTGAGAGTATTGCTGCTCTTTGTTGAAAAAAATTGATGTTAAATGGAGTGTTTCTCAAGAAATCTTTAGACTTAGCACTGGTCCCAAAACTGATTTCTGAGCATTTGAGGAATATAAGTGAAAAAGTGAAATAGGTACCTCTACCATACAATATCAACTAGAGAAACACTGCACTTAATGAGTACTTGCCAGATACACATTAGGTACTGATATAAAAACGTATAGTTACCTCATAGGTTGTAATAGTTTTGAATACATTGGATAAACTCAAATCTTCAAAATATAATTCGAAAAACGGATTCATTTCTTCTGTTTCCTGAAGACATACTCTACATCTCACGTTGATTTCTTGTATTTCACTAAAGTTTTGTCTCATGTCTTCCATATTTTCTGGTAATCAATTCCCACTTTCCAGGTAAAAAAAATAGTTTCAAGTTTCAAAACATAACTTCCTAATCATAACCTCTAATAAAGTGCAAAAAACTTCAAAATAAGAAAATTAGCGAGTGTCTTGGTCACCGCCCGACCGCCATATTATTCTCGTTTCTTGAGTTTTGAGTTTCTTCAGTTCTTCACGACTGAGTTCACTGAGTTCACGACAATCGGTCGCTGGTTGTCAAGCGCATGACAAGAGTGACAGAATAGATACTGTACAGAACACAAAAGGCTGACACTGATAGAAGTTCATGGTTGGTAGAGCTGATGATACCAATAATCATCAGTTCTACCAACGTTGGGTGACTCCACCAATCAGCCAATCACCATTTATTATTCGTTCACTTTCTCCACTACTTCGCAGTCCCGTCCCAAGTCACATCGATTGAACAAAAAAATACAACAGTGTCATAGAATCAAAGAATCCGGGTGTTGCCGTTGTTTGTGTTTACTCAAGTTATTTGTTTATATTTTTATCCTTTTTCAATGTATTGTTGTGTTAAATAATGGCTTCACTTTCCTTACCAAGAGTGTTACATCCCAGAAAAACCAGCTTGGAAATTGAAAGAGAACATTTTGAAAAATCACAGGTGCGTATCAGTTGTTAGGTTAGAGGTACCTATTCTGTTTATCTAATCAGATTTTTGTAATTATAATATGCCCTGCTGGGATAATTACTACGTCATTTCATGATGTCGTGTACCTACTCATCCCGTAATTCATATTTCCATATCCAATGACTGCTTCATGTATTATCCCTGTAGCTGTGTGATAGTTATATTTTGTTAATCATCAACATCCTCATCATAGCAGGCATGTATCTTGCATGTATATGTATCATATTCAAACTGTTCATTTTTTTGTTCAATTATCATTTATGAATCATCTGATGCTGATTCACCAATAATAGTAGGAGAGCTTACTGAAAATCTCTTTCATCATCTGATAACCAAATATTATAGTTGTGTTCCAAAGGCATGTAAAAACATATTATTTCATGGAACGGTACTTGTGCCAATCACTATCCTGAGCAAAATGAATGAAAAATTGCACTTGTGCTGTGCGGTAATTTGCACTCAAGTTTGCGATTTGATAAGGAGATGAGAATTATGCCATCCGATAACAATTTAATGGTATCTCGAAAACATACCTGTGCAATTCGTTAATCTGAATCAATTCCACAGCACAGCGATTTATTTGTTGCCATTATTCCAGACACACTTCCATCATGTGATATTGAGTTGAGAAAAAAAGCAAATGAAAGGGGCACATCCGAATATCCAAACGTGCTGCGACTCAAACTGATATAAATAAGTGGCAAATCGTCAAAATTTACGAGAATATTTTGCCCCGGTCGAGAGGAAATATCCGATAGACCGTGTAAAACTCATGTCGCAACTATAAGTATTCTAATCCACATGTTGAGTTTCACACTGGTCCATCGGATATTATCTTTAGAGAGGGACGAAATATTCTCGGAAATATTGATGCTCTGCCATTAACTTAGATCGGAATATATATATACATAGATAAATTGCTAACACTATATAGATACTCTACAATGATCAATATATCGTGTTTCCCAGCCATAACTGTCACCTCTCTCTATGTCCGAAGTCGCCTAAATAAAATTGAAAATCGCTCGGATCACTTTCAATTTGGCTAGGTACACAATTTTCTGTTATAATCATATCACAAAGTTGAATCCTTGAAGCAAACCGGGCACCAACTTTCGATTCTATATGAAACACCCTGTATTTAATTGCATATTCGGTAAGTGCTTTTGATTAAAAATCCAACAATACAATCAGGTTTGATGAGCTTTTCAGAAACGGCTACGGAAATGAAGAGATAGGTATAACTCATCGGATAACTCCGCCAGCAGATTCTTTCTCAATTTTTCATTTGAAAATCGAAAGTAGATGCCCGTTCTGCTTTCAAGGTTTCAACTATTGACTAACACATTCCTGAATTGATAGCAAAGACTTAGTCACTCATTCCAGGATAATGATCATTGAAGGATACTTATTCCATGCATTGATTTTAAAGCGTTGTTATGGACTGATAGTCAACACCTTATACACCTTACAGGTACAATATCACAAATGGAAACATGGTTGCCAGAAAACTAATTCTTGAATTTTTTCAAAACATTCTTGTGGTGTTGGGTACTTATATTCGATTTTGGTTATTACAACGCGATTACAACGATATAAAAAGTACTCACCTACCTATTTATGTTCTCACCTGTCTTATCTTTAATTTATCTCATTTATATCTATCTCCCACCTAATCTCCAGATCTAACAATGTTCTCAAATATTTTATTTTCAGATTTGCATGTTTTGTTTGAATTATATCTCATATTAACATCAATAACTCGTGAGTTGCATTGCATGTCTTGACGTCAAAAGAGGAAAATAATGGCAAAAGAATACAGTCCTAGGGACCTGGAGAAATATGTGAGTAAAATCAGGCACTCAAGATTGTCTGGCTAGGTCCTAGGCTTTGGAAGAAAGGGTTTTTGTTTTGATGTTTCCCTGTTGGTCTCCTTGCCTTGTATGTTCTGTTTTTGCAGTTGCCTTGTATGTCCTGTTTTTGCAGTTGCTTAATCAAAGAGCTTTGTGTGTTGGTGTTGTCAATAAAAAAATATAGTTTCGAAATGTTGTTTCAATTCGGCGACTTTCGTTTTGTACAAATATTTCGAATGGTGAATTGAAATGGTCATATAAACACTACAGTGAATTCCATTTAAGAATAAAGTAGATGGCATGGGTAGCAGAGCCTGTTTACCACCGGTACACCTGCTAAATATCTGAGAAAGAGTCTAAATACTCGAAATTGAGGTTATGTTTATAGTATCCTGGTTTTTGTAACTAGTTGACCGGTAACGGATATCTATAAATGCCGGTGATTGTCGAATCGATATTCTACTATTATTGCAAATCTATTGCTTGATCAACGATCCTAACCTCGACCCCAACTGTAGTACACTTTACATACCATGCATAAAACAATGAAAAACGTAAACAACCAAAACTTCTGATATGATTAGAACTTTTTACGGACAGCCGACCGGTCGTCTAGCCACTTTCATTGTTTCATCATTATCGTCAAAAGAGACGAAGACGAAAAGTAAATATAGCCCTAAACTGTTTAAACTAGTTACATTCGAACGAAGTATTTCAATCGCGTGAAATATTAAAATGCTTGTTATTTGATGGATATATTTTGCAAAAAACTAGAGGCCTAGTTTGGTCAGGGCGTTGTTACCTGGTCTATCTCAATATAAAGCAAGGTGGTTGAAAGATACCAAGGTAATTATATATAGTGTATTTGATATGTATCATTATATATAATATAATTTGTATTGCTATATGTGTCATGGTTTACTTCAAGACAACTTCAAGATTACTATTAAGGGTGATTGTCATTATGAGTTTTGTATCATCTGTTTTTACTTACGGAAAATAAAGATATCCTCCCTAAAGTTGAATTATTATAATTATCTGTCCCACAAATATCACAGGTCGTACGGGCAGTGTGACGTATTTGTAACATAGAATATACACTTGTATACGATCTGTTAGTGATTTTGTATGTGATGTTGCATTTCATGTCTAAACGGCGTCGTAGTGTTGTTCCTTGAGGCCGGCATTTTCACATCGCCACGTTGTATCGGTAACATGTTTGTGACTTCAAATGCGATATCGCATAAAGTGATGTCGCGTATATATCATTTATACATCTCATGTTTGGCTGGGGGTTACTAGGGTGCCTTAGAACATAGGATTTCAATACCCACGACGAGTGCAAAAGCACTCATTTCCCCCCTTGTTATATAAAATAGCTATTATAGACAGTTGATGCTTCAATCAACACGGCTTAGATTTTTTTCTCAATGAAAATTTGCGACTTTTGAGATAACATTCAATAATATAGCGTTCTATTTATATTACAGTAACTATATGCTTGCACATTTCTTGTAATATATTTATTCCCTGTGAACTAAGTACTAACGGTTATTAGAAAAGCAGCGTTCTGGAAAAGATTGCATATGCTTATTAAAATATACATTAATGAAACCATAGGAGCAATGGAAAAAAACTGAGATTATTGTAGCATAACTAACTACAATATTCTAGGTAGGTATAGGTAGGTAGAACTATATATAGTAACAGTGAAAGACAAACAAGTGAATCATAAAGACACAATATCACAGTTCAAAAACTCATCAAATGAATAAAATGCTATCTGCTGTGAAAATTTCTTGAAATTTGCTATGAATTTTGAATCCTTCAATTGTTTAAGATTGTCAGGTAATCTGTGCCTGTGGACAAAACAAAAAAAACGTATAGCAATAAAGGCACCTATATAGGGACATCTGTATTATTCTTCTTATTGATCTAGCATTTCTCCTAAACTACAAGCCCTTTTCAGCTAAAAAATAGAAACGAATGCGTAAATAGATACAGTACGACTTTATATATTGATTCATAAAAACGATTTTTCCTAAAATTTTCGATTTTTTTCTGAAAATTCAACATAGTGAGAACTACTAACACTTTTAGAATAGTAATCCAAGTCTTGCTAAGACTTTTTGATGCCCAATAAGAAATTCAATATAAAGCAATATCAACAAATAATGAAGTACAATCAAGCGAGAAGTAGTGAAAAAAGTTCTTGAATAGGTAGGTAGTGAATGTTTTACGGATTTGTACACCATGTATAATTGAAAATGCTAATTAATAGCATACCAGTGAGCGTTTATCCTACATTCTACGTATATGGAATACCATATTGATATTGACCTTGTTCGAAAAAAACACATCATGTCTTGATGACTCAGGAGAATAAACATTACATTTCAGTTCAATGAGTGATATGTGTCGTTGAAGAATAAAAAATATTTTTTTATTGAATTCTTGATTTGAAATGAATTTATTGTTGGATATTTCGAGGAAATGCTGCTCTCTATGAGCTTTATTCATACTATATTGGAGGTCCTTGACAATTGGAAAGAAGTGTATCAATAAAAAAAATGTTTGATCGATTCTGCATGTTTATAAAACCAATTGATCGATTTCAACATGTCACCTCATCGATGCATGGCGAAAATAAATTGGAAAAATAAAATGACCAAGAAGAATAAGTGGGTTAGATTGCAAAAAAATATATCACAAAATTCATTATACTTTATCAAAGCATTTTGAATAAAAGCATGTTCATGAGAATGTTTTTCATTTAAATATTTTTCTTTACTATTATAGGTATCTATATATACCTACCTCTACTTGTGAAACAATATCTCACTATACCTTGTATTTTTTGTGTATGTATGTATGTACATACTTACTTACATAATATCATATTAGCTTCTTATCTTCTTCAATGTCTTGAGATTTATATGTATTATTCTTCTGTTTGTTGGTCGTTGGTACTAATAATATAACAATTCAATATCTGCTAGATTTCAATAACTCCTTCTCACCTTAGTTCTCACATACCTATTTTTCCTTTTCTGCCTTTAACTGGTTCAATTATTGTATTTTTGCACATAATGTACTTACTACATAATAATCTTGAGCAACAGCGTAATAAAAGTAGTTTGCTAATGAAAAACATATTTGTATGGTGTTTTCATCCCATGATTCAAAGAAGAAATAAATGAACAATCAATGAATCATCGAAATAAATTATTCTTTTTGAGTGTTTTTCTCATTTGGAGCGCACGATAGGTAATTCATATGTTCGTGGGTAGGTATCCAACGATTCCAACGTAGACAAAAGATTGATAAAAATTCAACTGCCCAGAGAGAACATATCAGTGTAGAACTATACAGTGTGTCCCACTTACCAATCTCACCATGGGTATCTTTTTAACGGTGAGAGATACGAGGTCGGTTAAATGACACCAAATGTGGAGTTTGTCAAGGCCAACTATGATGTGAAAAAATATTTTGATAAAATCTATTCGTTTTTGTTTTATACGCAAAAAACAGATTTTGATCATTTTCATGTCTCCTCCGTGACTTCTTTATTTATGAAAATATTCAAATAGGAATTTCACATTCTCATGGCAGTTTTTCAAAGTGATTTCGAAAAAAATATGAAATTGATACCAACTCTTCTAGAATTCGAGATATCAGCACCAAATTTAGTTTTTCAAATGTAGGTCATAGCTCACTATGTCTTAGTTACAAATAACTTTTTTTTCTCTTACAGATGATATGTCGCAGTAATAGTTTTGTGTTGATAACAACGGAGTTATCGTCATTTATACAAAAACAAATAAATTTTTGGAAGCCGCCATCTTGAATTTATGAGTTTTAACAAAAAAATCATGATCTCTGACCTCAAAAACCCTCACTTACCAATTTTGAATGGAATCGGACCAAATCTTGTCCGCCATCTTGGAGCAGCCATTTTTTTTTAATTTCAACAAGAATTCCATAATGTATTGTCACCGAAATTATGAACACCTGCCAAATTTCAAGTTAATCGGAGTTATGGAATTTTTGTTGAAATTAAAAAAAATGGCTGCTCCAAGATGGCGGACAAGATTTGGTCCGATGCCATTCAAAATTGGTAAGTAGGGGTTCTTGAGGTCGGAGATCATGATTTTTTTGTTAAAATTTATAAATTCAAGATGGCGGCTTCCAAAAATTTTTTTGTTTTTGTATAAATGACAATAACTCCGTTGTTATCAACACAAAACTATTACTGCGACATATCATCTGTAAAAAAAAAAAAAGTTAATTGTAACTAAGTCATAGTGAGCTATGACCTACATTTGGAAAACTAAAGTTGGTGCTGATATCTCAAATTCTAGAAGAGTTGGTATAAATTTCATATTTTTTTCGAAATCAATTTGAAAAACTGCCATGAAAATGTGAAATTCCTATTCGAATATTTTCATAAATAAAGAAGTTACGGAGGAGACATAAAAATGATCAAAATCTGTTTTTTGCGTATAAAACAAAAACGAATAGATTTTATCGAAATATTTTTTCACATTATAGTTGGCCTTGACAAACTCCACATTTGGTGTCATTTAACCGACCTCGTATCTCTCACCGTTAAAAAGATACCCATGGTGAGCATGGTAAGTGGGACACACTGTATAACTCATCAGTCTTACAAAATTGCTGATTATTTCAGGCCCAAGCCTTGCACAAGGCCATCAACGGTAATGAGACTCCCGTCAAGCAGAAACATGTTCGTTCGGCGATCATCGGCACTTTTCACACGCAGAGCGCCAAAATATTTTGGGCCTACGCTCTCAGATTGCCCGCCATGGATGACAGGATTGTTGCGTGGAAATTGTGCCATGTGATCCACAAGGTAAGCTCAACGGTAAAGTAACATTTCGAAGGAATTTCAAAGTTTCGTTAAATTGTTTTTGAACCCCCTTACAAAATATTTTTGCACGTCCCTGAAGTCATGTTTCATTTTTCCATTGTCTGCGGAATATGGAGAAAAAATCTAGTGAGCTGCAGTATCTGGTCTGCTCAAACAAAATTGTGTATTCGCGATAGAAAATAACACGTCGCCCCATCTGACGGCAACAACTTGAACACTTCTGAGCGATTTGTTTTGATGATATGACCAATAAGCACAAACAAAAAACAAATGTGAACCAATAAAAACAAAGTAAACAGGCCGCTTTGACAGCTTTCAATAACTCCGATAGGTGGGGTACGCTTATTTTCTATCGCGAATATCATGAAGAATGGCTGATAGAATAACTGGACTTCAGGTTACTGATGAGGATCTGATATCCGAAATGAGTTTTACTCGAGTGAAGTCATATAACCTATTTGTGAGAGATATGATTCCCATATCACTGATACGAATGATTTTTTTTGGAAGTTCCAAGCCCATCAAGATCAGAGTTCATTCAACTATACTTCATCATCTCCTATACATTTCAATTTTCATTTCAATACTGATCATAATACATCATATTATTATTCGATTTGAAAGATAATGTCAAATTCTCAATTTCAGGGGATTTTGATTTTTCATGTTCTCTTTTTGGATATTCGACAGATATAATCGAGGATATAATTCAATGTTCGACGTAGCATATATAGCCAGGAAAGTAGTTGTTTTCTGTTGAATGAAACGAGAAAGAATTAATATTTTCGTCACATGGAGAATGCCAATTCTCAATGTATTTCTTTATATATACAGGATGTCCCAGAACAACGTACCATAAATTCTACAGGGTGAACTAGAGATCAAAATAGGCCGATTGAGATCGACCTACCTCTATACTAAAACGCACCGTAGAGTCGTGAGAGGGCGATGAACAATCATTTTATTTTCAAATTTTCTAGAATATCTCAAAATCCTTGAGTGATCTGCTCTGAAAATTAGAGGGCAAGGTACCTTAGTGGATTTGAATCGAATACATGTTATACCAATTTGATCAATATATAGGGAGATAGATATTTCGCATTGACTTTGAAGAAAATCGGTTTAAAAAAATCTGAGTACGCCACTGACCTCAATTTCATATTTCAATGAATGACGAAATCAATTACCTAACTTTCTTCAGACTGCAGTTATTTTCGAATTCTTCTTGGTTTTCAAGATATCTAACAAAGTTCATTTTGGTGCTTCTCCATATTATTTATTCATGATGTCAGGATTATCATGTATTTCATGTTTTTATCTCATTCATGTTGATTTATTGATTGAAATAATAATATCCATCAGTTCAAATTTTATTTTTTGTTTCCTCATGGAAGAATTTCTTCGAATGTAACGGCGATCACAATAATCCAAAAGAGACAGTAAGTCTCGGGAGCAGAGAATAGTTGAAAAATATCACTAATCATAACGATATCAATCAAGCAAATGCTCAAAATGTCTTCATCTCTCTCCAAGCATAATCAGGCCTTCTGAGATATTGCAGAAAATCTGAAAATAAAATGATTGTTCATCGCCCTCTCACGGCTCAATGGTGCGTTTTTGTATAGAGGTAAGTTGATCTCAATCGGCCTATTTCGATCCCTAGTTCACCCTGTAGAATTTATGGTACATTGTTCTGGGACTCCCTGTATATCATTTTTTGTGTTCCTTAATATATCTGAGAATAATATTCCTTCTCAATACGGTTAATTAAAAAAAACAAAACAAATGAACGCTTCCCTTTTTCGAAGGTCCTCAGGGAGGGCCATCCCCTTTGTCTGGTGGACAGCCAGAGGCACAAAAAAGATTTGGACGAGATCGGTAAGCTGTGGGGCCATCTTCAGGAGGGCTACGGCAAAATGATCAGGCTGTACACGCTGCTGCTGATGAACAAGCTGGAGTTCCATAGGAGGAACCCGAGGTTTCCGGGACATTTGGGGGTGACTGCCGAAGAGTTGGAGTCGATCGCTGGGAACGACATCAATAATTAGTGAGTTGACGATTCACCTATTGGAAATTTGAAAATCCTCCAAAGGACACCGCACGTTTCATAGGGAAAATTGGCCTTCTGTCGAATGGGCGTGTACACCTTAGTAGAACTTTTAACTCAAACCATGTTTATAATGATCCTTTTATACATAAATGATGATTGACGACATAATTCGATCGAAAAATTAACTGGAATGTTTTATTTTTGATCATAACTAATACTACCTTATGAAAACGGACCCTCTTATGACGTAGTAACCTCATCTCACCATAGTTAAGAGAAAATACCAAAAGCCCGACGGAGACTGGGGCAACTGATACATAAATTCTGTCAACTGTGATCTCGCGCTAATTCACTCTGTCAGAAATCATGTATTATTCATTTCGGTCTGGAATAGTCTTGTTTTAGTATTAGGGTTTTGACGTCACATCATCGCCTCGTTTTCAGAGGTCCGAAAAATCGGGGATTTCAATATTTTTTTATAAAACGTAGGGAGCTCACAGCAAGAGTGAGTTCTATCGAATCATGAAATACAAATTTTTTGTGATATAAGCCCATTGGCTGTATTCTTGATATGTTATAGTCTAAGACAATCTGAACAAAATGTCCTATAATACCAAACTGTTCTAATGGCTAGTTTTAGCGCTAGAGGCCGCTGGAGTCTCGATCTTGATTTCTTTTCTCCTGATAAATAGAGCTCATTGAGCCATTATTATATCATTTAATATAGGATAAGTCACTACTAGAAGTATTCATCAATATTGTTGCTACTGGTCAACAATTATACTATGTGTTCCAGCTCTTATTGTTCAAGACAATAATGATATTCATTACAAAATACGTTTATTCGAATTCCATGTTCACCCTTTGTATAAGGAGAAGATACAGGAAGATATCATGCCGTTCCATATAACAGCAGCTGAATGATATTCGAATCAAAAAAAATATTTTAATATTCAATATTATTGTGATGATGTTTTTTCTAATATTAATCTCCTATTTGTCAAGGTTTGAGATGGAATGTCATTTTGCGTTTTCCTTCTTAAAACAGTTCGTATATTATATTCTTCCTGAAGAGCTGATTTCATCAATGTATCACACTTGGGGTCTAGCAGGAATGATTACATAGAGTGTGTTCAAAATCGAGGTTTTTCAATTTTAGGATTTTTTGTGTCGAAACTATTAATTCATTATCGATCAAAAAGGCTTACATGTCCCTATCTCAACTTTTGATTCACTATCTTTTTTTTTTTTTATCGCTTGGAGCGCACGAGAGGGAATCCCTATAATGTTCAAAGAACATCGTGCGTTCCTAGGGAGGATAGGGACAGGAGGTAGGTATTGGATTTTTTTTTGAACTTTTGGAGATTATATGTTGTTGGGAATACTTCCACAGGCAATGAATTCCAGAGCCTAGCCGTTCTATGGATGAAGGAGTCTTGATAAAGTGCTGTTCGACATCTTTCGACGTTGACAACGAAAGGATGTGCTGACTGGGCTTGTCTAGTTCGTCTGATTGGTATTGCTAGTGAAGGGATGATAGCAGAGATTTCCGAAGAACATTTCTACTGGAATTTAATTGGAAAAAATACAGGGTGCTTCAAGATTCAGAATTCTGATCACCCTGTATCTAGCTAAATCATACTGCTCCAGTAGAAATCCCCAGAAAATAAAAATATCCAATGAAAACACATTCCCTAATCTGGCAACCCTGATATGGAAGTTTCCACAAGTTTATCAAGAATATGGATTGTTCATTTGGATCGTTACATTTGAAGGGTGACATTGAAATGAATATAGATATTTTAAACCCTAAGAAAATACTTTGTATACTATCGAATGGCACCAATAAAAAAATTTTGGAATCAAAATGAAATTGAGAGGGCTACGGCAAAGATGATCAGGCTACTGCTGCTGATGATGAACAAGCTGGAGTTCCACAGGATTTGGAGTCGATCGCTAGGAACGATATCAATAATTAGATGCGGGGGTTTGGACGCGAGTTTGTCAAGAATATGTGTTCCGATAATGCAGTTAAGCTTCTTTTTAAGTCTACGAAACTCGTATTCGCAGTGTTGGTGTATTAAAACCGCTATAGAGACGAACAACAAACTCATCCCACTTCTTTTTTAAATGTAAATAAGAATATTATCGCTGAAATATCTAACCGAAAACAATTTCTCCCCTGGGTAATACCACATTTATTACTGAATTATACCTACCTTTATGTCATAATCGAAAAATAATATAAGTATCAAATTCTGAAAAAATATTCACTCTATAACATATTAATTGAGTAATGATTATCTATTTATCATTATCTAGAATCAATTGGGATTGAATCGATGAAAGTATATGTTTGGTGGAAAAATTGTATTCACTGAAAACAATCATTATTATCCCCTATGATTTTCGTCCTGAACATTTCAAGCTTCTACTTTCGTCAGGAGGACCAGAAAGGACGAAATTGAACAAGTTAAATACATTCATTCTTTAATAGATGAAAGGATTTGTTTGACTCTTCCTAAAGTAAGTTAAGCTACGAGCAGTGTATGCAACTATCTAAAATTTTATCCTATTTACCTGTGTTACGATCTTGCTCTTCCGTGAAGATGGTTGGATAAAAGAATAACGGACTCATGTTCCGCCACACAAATTCTCTTTTCTAGTAAGGAAACATTGTGCGATGAAGAATATTATTCGTCCAAAATTGAGAAACTCTCAACACAATGAAATCTTATTCCATAAGTGGAGAAACAGTGCCAAAGGTTAAAAAAAACATATAATTTATAAAAATAAAAATTCACGGCAATCTCAAGTAGTCTATCAATAGAGAATTGTCAGTGACGTCATATGACGGCCATTGAACATCTGATTGGGGAGACAAGCATGTACATTTTCCATAAGGGTACATGTAACTTTCTTGTACATTTACCACTAAAATACAATTCCTGGAGGATTTATTTATCGACATGTTTGTTAATTCATTCATCATGAATCCTGCGAGAGAAGTGAATGAGTCCGAAGAAGAGTTCAAACTGGTTTATTTGTCAATTTTGAATTACTGGATTTACTTGAGTTCATCTCTAATAAACCTCAATAGATACTCATTTTGAAAGAAAATGTAGACATTCTTCTTGTATAATATCTACAAGTTCAACAAAATCACCAATGCGTCAGAAATAATAAAATCAAAATTCACACACAGCTTTGTTTGTCCTCCGTTCAGCTGATGAAAACGACAAGTGCGCCATGTTGTGACGTCAGCCGACATTGCTCTATTCATGATGACTATTCCTCGTGATAACTTCACAACTGATATGAAACCCATTACTTATTTTATTAACTGAAAACTCTTCATAGATGACCCGATGGTTATTGTATTGTTTCATTTTATTTCTAGCTTCGAGATGACAGTTGAAATGTTCGATTATGTGGATCACATTTTGGACTTGCAAGATGCAGGTAACTGTTTTTTCCTTAATATTCCAAGTCTTGAAGGATGATTGATACCTATTTTCAAAATTGATGTGGTATCTTTGATTCCTTCAGAACTCATCTTTGAAAGCAAACATTTTGTGCAGGACAAACCTTCTTTTGTTTGCCAATAAGAAGATGAAACAGCTTGAAATAGACCGGCAGGTATGCCTTTTTGAGGGTATCATTATGTATACAGGGTCTTCCTTAATGACATGCTAATATGCAAGGGGGCGATTCTTGGACCCATATCAAGAATGAAACTTTTTATTTTTATTATATAAACTATTTTAATTCCTTAATTTCAACGCCCTGTATCTCGAGAACTAAACACTTGAAGACCGTATGTCCTATCTCAGTGATTATGAAATCACGAGGGCTATCACCCGTCAAAGCGTTGTCGGTCGAATTTCGAAACACCCTGTATACATAATGATACCCTCCAAAAAGTTTACTGGGTGAAATCACTTCCGAAAATATATGTCACTACCTGCCGGTCTGAAACCAAAACAACGAAAGTACCTATGACGTCATAAATTCGTCCTGTACCGAATGTTTACTCAACAGGTGACAACAACTTTTGACGTATGATTTTCAGTGTTTGGTTCATTGAACATGGCCCGATCCAACTCGATGACGAGCGCAGGGCAGTGCAGACTTGCTCCTCTGATCGCTTGTATACAGGACGCCTCGAAACTGTACGATTACTGCGTGAAAATAATGTTCAAGCTCCATTTGACTCTGCCGCCTGACACGTTGTCTGGCCACAGAGAACGATTCATCAAGCAATTCAAAGCGTTGAGGAAGTTTTACGAGAATACCAGCAATCTACAGTATTTCAAGGACTTGATCGCCATTCCGCCTTTACCCGAGGTAATGGACGTTGAGGAAGAAATTGTCCTCTGTATTTCCATATACGAGTCGAAGCAAATTGAATCTAATATATCACCATCTGCTCCTACTGAGGAAATAATTAATGATGATGAATCTAACCAGGGAGATGTGATTGTGGGAAATTTAATTTCACTGAACTGATATTGTAAATATAAATTTCTATGCAAATATTTTATCATTCTTCTTGATGCCATAAACTGTTATCAAACATTTTCTCTCGCTATCTTCTATCTAATAAATGCGTCATTCGGGATGATTGGTGTTTTTATATATAACGTTATCAGTTGGAATTATATTTTGATGAGATAATCATCGTGAAATGGATTCTATTATTATATTTCTGATCCATTATCAAATATAAAGTGACTACATGCAAACACAAAGATATCATAAAACTAGTTATCTCATTCAACCACTAAATGTAACAGAGCAAAATCACCTCTTGTAACCATAAAAAAAGTATTTCTGCTGCAAATTATTTCGCCATGTATGGTGAAGTAGAAATTGTCGATTAACAATGGAAGAATGCATGTGTCATCTGTCACAAGAAGTTCGACAAGTGTCTGTTGATGCACAACGCTCATCCGAAAAAAAAAACAGTTAGGTTAGATTTAAAATTTTGACATCATCCGTTACATTGTCGAATGCCAGTGTTGCCAAGTTAACATCAGTGAATTTGCTTCAGTGTGAATTGAATGGACGCCTAATGACTAGGTTCGAATCTATATCGTATAAGAATGGATTTTTTCCAATCAATAGAACAAACCAACTTGAAAAAATATTGATGCATTCTAGAAATAACCAAATCATTGAATCTAAAGAATTAGTTCCCTGTGTTTGATAACATTGTTTGAAATTATTTTTGAGAGCAAATGTCAAATCTGTCAAGCTTCAATGCATCTCTCAAGTTTAGGTACCGTTTTTTACCGATTTGAATTTTTGCAGAACCCGCCAAATTTTCTAATAATGGGCGATTTTAGAACTTATGTAACTCAAGAGGTGATAGTACCGCAAGAACCGGAACCCGAAGAAGAACCAGTGGTAGAAGGGAGTTTGATCGATACCACTGATGAGGCACCAATGGAAATTCACAATTCCCATAACAGTGCTATCTCTCTAGCTGCACATCAGGAGATCATCAACGAAAGAGAGTTTTTGAAGTCACAATGTGAAAAATTACGGTAAGCTTCACTGAAAGTGTTTTCCCGCGAAAATATTTGCGAATTTCTGACTATTTTGTATTCTCACATATTTTGATCCATAGGGCTCTTGAAAGTTTCTCGCAAGCATTTGTGCAAACATAATTTTCATAAAAATAATATCTCATAATGAACTACACAACACTAATTTCGTCGCATCCCAAAACTTTGCCTCTGTTGAAATATCAATCACTTTTTTCTGCTTTAAACGATTTGAATTCGGATCACACTATGCGTTAGCCCAGTCCTTCAGCTATAATCTCGTAATTCTTCAAAACAGGGTTTTTCACATAATATCGCTACAGGGAATTTCAAAAGTATCCCAAATGAAGAACAAAATTTTTTTTCAAGTTTGACAGTAAAGGCATGTAGATGATCTCATTATCTTGGGACAGTCCTCGAATTGTCTCCTTATCTCTCTTATTCACAGAGTGATCTCAAAAAATTTACTTTTTGGTTTTGCAGTCATAACTTTTTTCCTCGTCAACCGATTTTCAAAATCTCAGGCTCATTTTGAAGCTTAAACTTCAGATGAAGAGATATGATCAGGATTGTCTCAAGATGAACATTATACCGCGTGTCTCACTTCTAATGGAAGCACCCCTGTATCTTCCGTAATTGTTCAGTTAGGACTCTGAAATTTTGCAAGAGTGGTAGAAATACTGAAAATACACACTAAGTCGTCTCCAGTGATATACACTGCTTGCCAACAGCCATGGAACCACACACAAAGGATATACAGGGTATACAGGGTTATACAGGGTAACTCAAAAATTCGTGGCGTATCAAAGATATACTTTTTCTTATAGAACACCTTGTATTTTATTGCATTTTCAGATTCCTCCTTATGAGCTGATTGACAACAGTGTACGGAGTCATACTTTCTTTTCAGTTTCCTACGTTACCACAATCACATACATAGTTCTCAGTGGCTACAAGCACCACACTTAATTGATGATTTTCCCTACTTAGGCTTGTGCAAATTGCAGATTATGTTATTTCCATGATCCGTGAGTAACTGCCTTCAAAATAGAAAAAAAAAATAACCCCGCTCGGGAATGTACAGGTGACGATTTGGTTTGCATCTTTGTAGCTCTTCCATTTCCTTATGTTACGGTCAAATCGTCAGATTATTGAAATGCACACTTTTCTGCATGTAATTAACGTACCATGTCGTCTTAATCTGACCGGCTCGAATATTTCTGACGATCGATTTTTTTTAATCTGATCGGCTGCCCTAAACTTTCGACACCATGTAAAGGGCCCAGGTACTTCACAAGGTCCAAGGATTCCCCCTTATGTTAATCTGCCGCGCTCGAGTAAATCCCGAAATCCCCGCTTGGGCTTCCCTAGGGTCAAGCCGTTTACAATTCCATAAAGGACATACAGACAAACGTTCATTTTTATATATACGAGGTGATTTTGAAATAAGTACATGTATTCAGCACAGTATAAGCGTATCTCATTTCAAACGGCCCCCCCTCTATATCTCAGCTATCAGTCGTACGATCTATACCAAATTTGTATCGGTTTGAATAATCATCAATATGACTTCTTCGAAGACAAACATCATTTTAGACAGTGCCGTGCATTTTTATTGAAATGAATAGGGGTCAGTTTTTTATTAAATCATATTAGGCATTTTTCACAGAAAAACTGACCTCATAATATTGTTCTTCATGGTTTCAAACCCACACATGTGGATTTTCATAAGATGCCTATGAAGGGTTTCAGAAAAACAGGCACATCTAAACAGTATTTTTGCGAACGTATATATTTACTCGGAAACGGTGAGTTCAACATAAAAAAGTATAACTCGTTTTTCCTTCCAAATCATGATTTTCCACCTACCGGAGCCATTGAACGTTCCAAAATTCGTATTTGATTTGGAGTCACCATTTATTCGAGACTGAAAATGTAAAAAAGGGAGCCAATCCTGTTAATTCGGAAATAGGTGATTTTTTGCATATGGAGGTTCTAAAGCATGAGGAACAATAATAAGAGGTTAGATTCAGATTTAGTTCAATAAAAACGCACGGCACTGTCCAAAATAATGTGAATCTCATCATATTGATGGTTATTCATACCACGCCAGATTTGTTTGGAATCGCATGACTAATAACTGAGATATAGAGGGGGGGGGGCGTTTAAAGTGAGACACGCTGTAGGTATGATACAGTCTAACTATTATTCTTATGAATAAAATATTACTTAAGAAGGAATTGCAATAAAAATTAAAGTTAAAGTTGGTAAAATAGGTCAAATAATTCCCAAACTATCAGATTCTGCCTTCCGCAGGGAAATTTGAACAGAGGTGACGTCAAAATTGCTATGGTGTAGAACTCTGGGTGGAAAAAGGAGTATCACCCCCAAATGTTATTTTGATCCCTATATTTTTTATTGGTGCCATTCGATAGTATAAGTCGAGCTTCCTGAGAGATTGACATATTTGTAATTATTTCAATGTCCCCCTCATAAAAGTGGCAAGTGGCATTACATATTGATCAGAAAACTTGGATATTACACTGTCGTCTCAATGATCATAAGTAATATGACGATGTTCTGAATATTCGAGATAACAATGAAAGACTGAATTATGAGAACATATTCCGAACATTCATTCAACAGGGTACGGACAGATCATAGCTCCTTTCTCTTTTAATCATCTAGTGACTTTGGTTTCGTGTATTGGCGTCCCTGACATGACATTGCTGTCACGTCACATTCATAGGCGTTAAAAGAGATCTTACAAAATTTTAATTTCATATTTTATCTTGATACGACAGTATTCAATTCTGTTGTGGAAGGATGGTAAGTGCTGCGTTTGGCTGTATCAATCAGTTGGATGGCAAATTTGAATTTGTCAGCTTTCCATCAAATGCAAATGAACTTAGAACATGGAAAGTGAAGTGACCGAATGGGGAAAACTGGTTAATACATCAGCAAAATATTCGAGGTGAAACTAATACGAAATCACATATTACACTTTTTGAATGAATTTCATTAGAAACAGTTTTGATTGAAACAGAGGATTGAAAGTAGAGGCATATGCCCTAACAATTGAAAAATTATACCTACATTCAGGAAATATTGAGTGTTCGTGAAAAACTGCAAAAATGATTCACAACATGAATATATACAGCACACATGACATATGAGCACATTAGTTTGAATACCTATATACATAAGTTTTTTTTTCCATTTCTCAACCATAAGGCTTAGTCTGCAATTAAGAACAATTAAGAACAGTTTCATTTGGTGAAACGTATTAAACTTCCAGAAAAATTTGCTCACTGCCTCACAAAGATTATGCTGGAGTTGAAAAATCGAAAACTCGAAAGTTATCATCATCATTCGGGTATAATATGTTGAGTTGAATGAGAAATCACATGTGGAAATTACGTATGATACGCCAATGTCCTCAATATAACCTAAAAAACAACAAATGTCAGAAATCTAGTATTTATCCCCAGGAATGAATAAAGATAGAACTATATAACTGTTTCAAAAACACTTTAGAGTGAGAGGAGACGAGGATCTGTCCGTACCCTGTTAAGATGACAAATACGTCAATTTACATCAAGGGACCCTAGGCTTCCCTACTACTATCTCCAAAGATAACTGAGATATCGCGCAAAAGCATCGAAAACTAGACACACTGTACATTCAGTATTTTCAAACTATGAGGGTAATTGTCATCTTATTTTTGATTGTCAAAAATGAATCCGTTTTTGGATTATCCTTTCAGGCACGAAGTACATGCTCTTATGGCAAAAAATGAGAGAGACGTGGCGAAATTACAGGACAAAATAGTACATCTGGAAACTGATTTGTTAACTAAAGAAAGCGAACTAGTGCAAGAACGGCAAGTGAAAGTCGATCTTCTCAATCAGTCTTTTGCAGTAGCCCAGTCACAAGATTCTGAACGTAAGTTGTGCTAACGTCTTGGTTTTTTTTTTTGGTAATTTTGCACTTATCATGCGATGTGTTTTTTTTCGAAAAATTTTTTTTTGTTCATACGCCGTTATGATTTCCATAAGAAAATGCTGAGTCGCCGATACTGTGTTTTGCAGTTTTCCTGGAAGTCCTCTCGTGAGATTCCCACTTTGTGGCATTCTCACTCTCAGTCATCAGACTTTGATATTCGTATCAACATCTTAGTACCTTGTCTTAACCAATATATTGAAATAAATTGTTTCAAAAAAGGAACTTTGGTATCTCAAATAGTTATTTCGTGTAAGTGTTACATATGCTAGGAGACTTTGATATATGAAAACTGAAGTGTTACATATGCTAGGAGACTTTGATATATGAAAACTGACGATAAGGTCATTATTCTCAGACTGCATTATAAAAAAAAAAAACATCATAAAGCCTGAGTGGAGTTCCCCCAAAATAGAGTTCCATAACCATATGAGAGTGAACGGAAAATTTTGACTACGTAGTTTTTTCACACAAAAGGGTAATATATATTGGATGTCGAGTTGAGCCTCTATCATCGAGGGTGGGAGAAGCTTCACAGTGTCGCCTTTTCTGATATTTTCAGCTGAGAAAAACAATAATTTCTGGGACTTGCTATCATTATCTTCAAGGATGTAGCTACCGCTCATCAATTTCAACAAGCGCTGCATCATCTTCACTCTCAAGGTTTTGGATATTACTATCTGAATGATAAAATGTCGCATCAAAAAATAATATGCACCTTGATGATGGATTCATGTTTACAAATATACCATTCACGTAAATAATGAATAAGAGTGGCCCAAGCACTGAACATTGAGGCACTCCATAATTGATTCGTTGGGGCAAGGATGTATTTTCATTGAAGAACACTGTTTGTTTCCTTCCACATAGATGAGATCTAAACAAAAATTGTGCTATTCCTAAACACCATAATATTCAAGTTTTTTCAAAAATTTGAAACTGCTGCATGTGGAAAAAGTTGCTCAGCTGCTAATCCAAACAGCTACAGAACGTTAATGACTAATAAAAACTTGAATAAATGGATTAATCAATTAATACTTACTGAATTGAGTTATTTTTGTTTCTACAGAAAAGGTGAAAAACGAAAAATTCGACAAGTTGAAGGAACTATATGTCAAACTTCGTGATGAACACATACAAAAAATTCGAGAGGTAGGTGATGATAATGATCTAAATTTCCGCTGATTCACGGTGGATGGCACATTACACGTTTCTAGAGAACGCAACTCAAGCTTATTCTGAAAAGTTGGTTCCTTGGATAATTAGTTGTGTTCTATCGACCAAAAATATTCTCAGCATGGCGACGTTGCCGCTTATATTGAAAAGTAGCAACAACTTTGATTTTTCTAATGGGACACCCTGTATATTATTCAATTTTCAGATTCCTCCTGGAGAGCTGATTTCATTGACCCATAACACTTGGGGTCTAGCAGTAATAATAACAGAGTTATAGGATGTGTAAAACTCGAGATTTTTCAACTTTAAGAATTATTAATTGAAATAAATACAGGGTGGTTCAGAATTAAGATATTTGACCACCCTGTATCTATTTCAATTAAATATCAATTGATACTACATGAAAAGTTGAGATAGGGACATGGAAACCATTTTGACCAATTATGAATAGTTTCGACACAAAAAATTCTTAAAGTTGAAAAATCTCGATCTTTCACACCCTTATATCTTTGTTATCATCCCCGCTAGACCCCAAGTGTGATAGATTGATGAAATCAGCTCTTCAGGGAAAATCTAAAAATGGAATGATATACAGGGTGTCCCATTGAAAAAAACAAAGTTGATGCTACTTTTCAATATAAGCAGCAACGTCGCAGCGCTTAGAATATTTCAGGTCGATGGAACACAACTAATTATCCAAGGAACCAAATTTTCGAAATAATCCCACGTTGCGTTCTCCAGAAACATCTAATGTACCATTCACCGTGAATCAGCCTGTATAACATTGTACAGGGTGGCCAACTAAAACTCCAGAGTTCGATTTCTCTGTTGTCTTGAGAGATACAAAAAAAAGTCATGTATCAAAATTGAAGTAATAACCGAACTGCACATTTCAAAATTATTTTGGAATATACAGGGTGTTCCATGAGGTAACAGCATATCAAATTTATGTTTGTTTCATATGAACACCCTATATTTTATTTCATTTTTGAATTCTCCTTGAGAATCTGATTCCAACGACCCATCATACTTAGGGTCTAGCAGTGAAAGTTACTGACATATAGGGTGTGCAAAATCGAGATTTTCCAAGTTCAGGATTTTCTTCTGTCGAAACTATTCATTATTCGTCAAAACGGTTTACATGTCCATATCTCAACTTTCCACTCACTATCAATTGGTGTTCAATCGAAATTGATACAAGGTGGTCAAAAAATCTGAATTTATAATTTGTTTTAATTAAATGTCAATTGAACACCAATTGATAGTGAGTGGAAAGTTGAGATAGGGACATGTAAACCGTTTTGACGAATAATGAACAGTTTGGACAGAAAAAAATCCTGAACTTGGAAAATCTCGATTTTGCACACCCTATATGTCAGTAACTTTCACTGCTAGACCCTAAGTATGATGGGTCGTTGGAATCAGATTCTCAAGGAGAATTCAAAAATGAAATGAAGTATTGGGTGTTCCAATGAAAAAAACATAGCTTTGATGTGCTGTGACCTTACGGAACACCCTGTGTATTTCAAAGGAATTTTGAAATGTGAAGCTCGGTTATCACTTCAATTTGTATGCGAAACTTTTTTTTGTATCTCTCAAGACAACAGAGGTATCGAACTCTGGATTCTTAGTTGGCCACCCTGTACAATACAATGAATAGATTTTTTTTTCAAGAAAGCTGAAGTAGAGAAAAAACTCGCGACCGTTTCGAGAAATCTCGAGCGATTGACTGAACTAGAAAATGAGAAGGAAAGACTGGAGGAAAATGAAAAACAAAAAAGTGCCGAGCTCTCTGCCTTACAAAAGGATAAGGAACTTTTCAACATGGAAACAGAAGTAATGATGAAAATATTCATAGTCGGCTATTCCGTATCATTTTTATTATTTTTGTAGATACTCAAAAAAAGCGTGAACGATGCTTGTCGAGAAAGAGACATGGTAAGAACTGAACTAGCCATGATTATGCAAGAGAAAGAAGAATTGAAGAAACGGTCCGAGGAACTTTCTTATAAACTATTGGATTTAGAAAGACAACTCGATAATGGTAACAAACTTATGAATAATAGAATATTTAAATAACAAATTTTCACAAAACATTTTATATTGGTGAACAAAGATCAAGAATAGTTAGCAACATCAAGATGAAATTAATCACGTCGAAATAAAATTGTTTTCAATGTTTATTCATGATATCGTATGCAAATTTTTATGCTTTCAATTTTGAACATTACTTCTAAATGCTTCTAATGAAAATGATTCTGTTATTTTTTATAATTGATTTGTTGGTGTATCATATGCTGAACGATATTTTATCGAAATTGTTTTTTGAACAGTATCCCCAAACATTTATCAAATAGTTAATGAGACTGAGTATATGAGGATGGAATATTTTCAACCTAGTTATCGACCTTGAGACATCTTCTCAGGGCTCCAACAATAGGATATTTGTTGTCATCAATACTTTTTTATGTTTGTACCACTTCAGTTCATAATCAAACCCGATATCAAGATAATTTCCTTCATTAGTTTGCTTTCAAGATTAATTTTGAGATCGGGATTTATTCCGAGTAACATTTTGAGAAATTGGAAATTAGAAATCGAATTCGTGTTCTCATCAATCATTTTCATTTGATACAATCAATTTTGAAATTTTACTGAAGAAATTGATTCGCATAGGAATAAAAGATCAAATTTACTCATGGTTTCTTCAATAAGAAACACATCTTGTGGTGTGCCCCAAAGGTCAATTCTCGGACCTATTTCATTTTTCATTTATATTAATTCAATATACAGAGTGATTCACATAAGAACCGACATAGAGCAGGGGCATGTAGGGGGTCCCAAAATATGGCAATTCAACGCAACTTACCTCTATACCAAGTTGCTTCCCTAAGGAGATATAGGCTTTGAAAGTGAAGTTATAAATTTTGAAAAAAATCAATATCTTCGATATTCTTGAACTCAAAGCAACCAAATTTGGTACACTTTGTGGATGTATTTAGGGCGTTACTTGCCAGTAACTAGAGTTCAATTGAAATTTGTAAAGGGGGTATACCGGGTGGCGCACCAATAATATTCAACATAATTTTGTTAACCCTTGATGGATTTCAAAAATCTTTGCTTTGTTTCGTGGGCAATTCAATTCTTAAACTTTTTTTACTCCAGTAATTTTTCGAAAAACCTCATCATTTTCATCAAAAACTCGAATAACTGAAAACGCGCGCTCTAGGTGTGTTATTTAAAATCATCGAAAATTCAAAAGTTGGCTATGGAAATAAACGTCAAACTTGACAATGAGGCAAGTGAGTTATTGATCAATTAAGTAATTGTTGTTTGAGTGTTTTTAAAATGAACGGGAAGTTTTCTTTTAACGAGCAAGTTGACATGCTGTTAGTGCTATGCCTATAACTCCTCAGGAAAGTAACTTGGTATAGAGGTAAGTTGCGTTAAATTGCCATATTTTGGGACCCCCTACATGCCCCTGCCCTATGTCGGTTGTTATGTGAATCACCCTGTATAAACTTCGATGATAGAACTGTTTCATTCATAACGGAAATCATATTTAAGAGATTAGAAGCCAAAGGGAACAAGATCTCACTTCAATTGAAATATGCCTACGAGATAATAAATTGCCTCTCAATTTTGATAAATCTTCTTTCATGTTCATCTCGAAAAGAGTTATACCCGATAACCAAAGGACCCCGCACCGCATCAATGGGAAAATGGATTTCGGTGAATTTACTCAATTTTTTTTTATATGGTAGAACTCGTGGTGCTGATCAAATGTCTCCATTGCATCAACGCTCTAAAATCAACAATTGTTGTGAAGACACCTTTCATAATATCAACACCAAATCAACTGTGCAATGATTGTTCGAATGACCGATACACATCTTCTATGAAGTAATTGAAGTATGATAATTCCTGCACGTACTAACAATATACATGGTGGTTCGGAACATAGCGAATAATTTAGTGGTTATCGGAAAAGTGGGCGGTGGAATTTCATTTAAATTCTGTAGTATACAAATATCATCCCCAATTCGTGATATTGGCAACACCGAAAGCCAATTTCCCATTGATGCGGTGCGGGGTCCTTTATCTTTGAAAATTCGGGAATTTACAAAGAAGTCCAAACTCTGATGGTTAATTCACTACTTTTAGAACAAAAGGACATCCAGAGACAACTGAAAGAACTTCTAACCAAATCGATCGAAAACAACGAAGAGCTTCTAAAGCACGCTATCCACGAGGTCGACAATCCAGCTCTCACCGCTCTAACTTGCAGTCCTGACTACCTGCGAAGTTTGACGAAAGGCTGCGTAGAATCGCTGGAAGAAAGCGAAAATATCTGCCACACAGATTTCGTAGCTATCGTGACGACAGCCAATAGAATCGCTCACAGACATGCGACTTATATTTTGCAGGGTAGAGCCACTTGCAATACAAGTCCCGATATCAATTTCGGAGAAAGTAAGTGACTTCATAAATAGAGTGACGACAATAATAGTGGTGCACTTTTTGATTGGTCAGTTTTCAGAATATTCAGATGATGAAATGAAAATATCAAATATGAGAAAAAAAAATATCCAACTTGAACTTTACTGAAGTAAATACAATTCATACTCATGCAACGAGACAGTTGAATTCATTAATAGCAAACCCATATAACTTCATCATTGGCAAACAATCAGTATTCTACAACGGAATCATTTTATATAATTCATTACCTTATGATTTGAAACATATTGATGATGAAACAAGATTCAAAGTCAATATGAAAAAATATATACTCATGACACAATAAATGGAGCAATTTATTCTCATTTGAATACTTGGAATCGTTTTATTTTAATTATTATGTTATATTGACATAACTTGTTAATTAGTTTTTTTTTTATTGTTTTATATATATATATATATATCATATGTTTATGTATCCCTATTATAAACAAATATGTTTCTTGGGGTAATAAAGAACAACAACAACAACAACAACATGAGGTGGGCACTTCGAATGCGCAAATTCATTACTGCATGGGAGATAACCTTCAGATTCTAAGCTATTTAGTTACTTGACCACGAATAACATTCCGGAAACGGCAGCCATTGGAAGGTCTATTGTCGTCACTCCATTTTATCTACTCACTCTAGTGTGATTATTCCTAAATTCTTTCGTCTTCTGATTCTGCCTACTTCGATGATCAGGAAAATCTCGTATTTTTAGCCGTTCGAAAAGTACCATGGCATTATTGTTGATTTTAGCACCTTATAATCGAACGAGAAATTTTAAAAAAATATGAAATTGGAAGGTATTTGAGTGATGATTCCATTTTCAAGATAAGAAGAAAAAATTGTCCTCGCCTATTGTAGAGTTCCTGAGTATACTTGACACTGCTGTTTTGACGTTTTTTTTTTTGTATATTAGAGTACGGACACTATGACGAGCACTGACAATGAGACATAACCACAAATAAATTGATGGAAAAAGCGGGAACTGACAGTACACGGACGTACATGACATTAATATCAAAAGTTTGACACATTTTGAGATTTAGGAGAAAGATGCAAGTTTGTGCAGTTTCCAACTGTGAGAACACGTGAAATCAATTCACTCTATTCGAATTTCCATCGGATAACGAAATTCTACAAAAATGGAAACAGAATATGATGCGGCCGGCATGGAATATTATCAGTGGCGGCTCGTGACTTTCATGACAGAGGAGGCTGAATGATATGAGATTTATTGTGAAAAACAACTCTCTACTCACCCAAATCAATAGCTTCAATGACATTCTGTTCACCTAACCTGAACTTAATACTTGAAGAGATGTGTTCCTGTGATTCGCAGTGTCTATCCAATCCGCGAGCCAAATTTTTCAAATCATTAATATATCCTAATCGCTCCCAGCATGATGACTTATCGGTTGAAAATAATACGCAGTAATAAAAAAATAGTTTATTACTTACCTCAGATCCCGTCAGCCAGATATATTTTTTATAATTATCAGAATTGAACGAACGATTTTGTTTGTTACCTGTTACAATCAGATTTTTTAATTCCGGTGTCGGACGTTTTTTTTCACAATCAATTTATCTTCATAAGTCAAAGCACTGAATGGGTTCACCAAAAAGTATTCCACTAGATTGCAATCGTTTAAAACACTCATTTTTCAGAAATTCATAGAGCCCCTAACCATTAACCCAACATAAACATAAACAATGCCCGTAATTCGCGAAGCGAAACGACAAACACGTGCTATTCGGGTGTATTCAGGCATTTGCATTGCGCGAGTGGGTTGCGCTCAAGGTTGCGCTTGCGCATTGTGAAAGGAGTCTAGCCTCCTATAGATGTTGCCAAGTTGAATATTTTACGTGTGATTTGCAGACTTCAACGTGTGATGCGTGGGCAAGCACTGTTGCCAATTCAAAAATATTTACCTAAAAACAGGAAATAAAATCAAAATCCATGTATTTTGGTGTCCTTTTAATGAGAAAGTATAGATAATATCAGTTCAAGGAAAATCTCTGAGGAGGCTCAGCCTCCGTTTCCTCCTCTGAGGAGCCGCCACTGAATATTATAGGTTCAAGCCACAAAATTTGCGAGGTATTCAAATTTTTTGGTAGGATAAAGAACATTTTTCAACGCATTTTTATCAGGTACACTTCAGAACGGAAGATTTGATGTAGAAGAATAGGATCGTATTGAGAGAAAGAGCCGAACACACTATTTATCAACTGAGGAATCAATATCGAAAAGAACCTTATTCCAATTTGGAACCAACAAGACACGAAAAACTTGCAGATCTCATCGAATTTTTAGAGCAGGAATATTCAAAAATCCAAGGTTTACGAGATTGGAAGAGAGTGCGGAATTTAGCAAAGAAATAGGAGATAAAAATACAGAGTTGGAAAATAAGTTAAAGCAAAAAGATTTAGATATAGAAGTGAGAGTTAGTAAAATTCAGAACTATTATTACTTTAAATTATTTCAGATTTGAAACAAAATCAGCAAATATTTTCAGAGAAATACAAGGAAATTGAACAAGCAAATATCCATGCAATTCTGAGCAAAATTCATAGTTTCGATGAACAATTATACTATGAAAAACTTTTGCATTTGAGAAACCGAATTGAAGATTTGAATAACAAATTGAATAATATTAGTAAAAATGTTGCTTTATATGAGCATGATTCATCTCAAGATGCAAAATGTAATGGTAACAGATGGGATGCAAAAAGTTTAGAAAAAGCGTTGGTCATCAAATTCACGTGTGGTTCATCTGGTCACAATAATTCATTGACATTTCAATACGAATTACCATCGCTGTGTACTCTGAATTGACGAATTACGAAATAAAAGTATGATTCATTGGTTGAAATTTATCAGTTTTTACTCCATTCTGAACTTTTGTGATAACAAATATTCAACTGAACGTATACATATACCTACATATAAGAGACTTATTTCATAGAAATAGTATATGTATTCCGTTGATATATAGGTATGTACACACCACCTTGATATCGACCTCCATTGAGGTCCTTTAGCATTATCATTCAATATTTCGAGAAGAAATAATTTTCTAATCAATTTATCGTACCCTTTTACCCACTTCAAGAGACGCTATGCACTCTCATATACAAAAATCAACGACAGAGAAAGATATATGGATGTACTCTTCCCAGGACTTGCTGAGGAAGGAAGATTCGAGGATCCTTTATCTTAGTGAAAAACATATTCTTGTCCTTGTCTGGCGAAACATATGTTATCTAAGTGAAAAACATATTCTTGTCCTTGTCTGGCGAAACATATGATTTGCTTCAAAACCGTTTTTGGTTATGTTTGATTGTCACTGCTTGTCTAGTGTCTGTACTCTAATATACAAAAAACGTCAAAACAGCAGTGTCAAGTACATTTAGGAAATCTAGCCTATTGCAGCAATCAATTGCATACAATGAAAAATTGAAAACTGTAAAGCGGATCTGAGCCTCCAGCATTGCCGAGATTTTTTTAAAAAATTTCATCAATTATTCTGATTTTTTTTTTCAGAAATGGCAGATTCCTGCAAGATTCTCGGAGAGATAGTTCTGAAACTTCTCGTATGCCTCAAAAAGAGTGAAAACTGTGAGATGGCAGCTTCCGAAGCGAAATATAAATTAGAAGAAATAGCCTCGCTCGGGGACAGCATAAACGCTTCGCTTTTGGGCGAAAAAGCGGAAAGTCTGGCAGATATGCTGGAGAGCGAGATGCTCGCTATGGATAAAGCCATCGAGGAAGCAGCTAAACGTATACAAGTACGAGTAATTTCTTCTAATAGGTGTTGGCGATCGGATAATTATTTTTTTTTTCTAGCGGAAATAGTTATTTATGATATAAGTGCTAAAAGTGACATTTTATTTTGTGAGAAGGGAAGTTTCGAACAAAAGGAAAAACACTTTTAGCACATATATCATACACTATTTTTTCTACAAACACCATTAAAAGTCCAAATTAACGCATAACTATTTTACATTACTTATTAATTGATTAAATAACAGCCTCGAGATTATCAGTTTTGAATCCAATTCAATCTAATCTATTCATGAAACAAGTTACCAAGGTGAACAAAAACTGAATTTGTTGATTTTTGATTTATCTTTCTTGACAACTAACGTCAATAAATCACGAATTATTCTTCCTCGTTTCTTCGTTCCTCGATGGAAAGTGCCCAAGAAAATGAATTTCTTCCGCCGCAAATTGAAGAAGCTGCCAATAAAGCTGTTTTTGAATTATTGCCTAGTAAGTGAAAGCGACAGTACGAGTTTTCATACGAACGTTTCTTGAAATGGTGTGATCAGAAAAATGTCAGTGGAAAGGAGGCCAGTGAAAAAGTGCTTCTTGAATACTTTGAAGAAAAGTCCAAAATATGGAAATCGTCAACGCTTTGGTCGAATTACTCTATGTTAAAGTCGATGATGAACATAAATGATCATGACATAAGCAGATATCACAAGTTTGTGGCTTTTTTGAAGCGAAAGGGTGAAAGATATCGACCGAAAAAGTATTGGCAAGACAACAAATCGACAAATTTCTCGCAGAAGCCCCAGATGAAATAAACTGGGCGTCAATTGAAACGTTAATAGTGAAATTTGGCATCAAGTTTGACTTCTCGTAATTTCTAAAATATTGAACGAATTTTGAATTGCCGCCTAGATTCTGAATGCCTTTTTCATCGTCTTTCGAACCGTTCCTTACAACTTCTTCTGAATTGGTCAGGACACGTGATACAGGGTGAAACAAAGTTTCGTGCATTTTGAAAAGAATTTCTCCGCCCCCCCATTTTGTCGGAAGACCACGATGCTCATATTTTATTCAGGCATTTCATAAATAGCAACCGTACCTCGGGACGTTTTCGAGTTTTTGCCAAAAACTACTGTGGTTTCCGAAAAAAAAAAATTTTTTTTGCATTTTTTTTAAATGGCCTGATTACCTGTATCTTCAAAACGATGAGTCAGTCTATTTATTGTCATGACTGACTTATGTATGTATGTATGTATGTGTGTGGGCGGTCCGGGACCTGACGCACTTAGGCCTCCCTTTTCGGGCCCATTGTGCACCCACATTCCTGGGATCGCAAGTCAGCCATGGAGAAGGCCGATCTCGCGAGCAAAAGAGACCAACTTCCTAGGCCAAATCTTTTTAACATCCTCTGGGTCCAGGATACTGCTCCCAAAATGGATATCCCTTGCTGCCACTATTGCCGGGCATTCAGTGAGGATGTGAGTAGAAGTCTCTTCATCCTCTAGGCACCATCTGCATTCTGGATCCTCCACAATCCCGATCATGCTGAGATGTTTGTTCAGGTGGCAGTGCCCTGTCAGCAGGCCCACCACCAGTTTCAGCTCCTTCCTGTTCAAAGCCAAGAGGGCATTGGTCTGTCTTCGTGACGGGTTTCCTATATGGAGTTTGGACTGCCTCATTCGAGGAGCCTTTCTCCAGCTGTCCTGAACCTTTTCCGTCAGGATTTCCTTCATCTTGGAGTTGCTCCAGGATCGAGTGACCCCTAAGATTGGCTCTGGGCCAATCACTGAACCTTTCGCCCCCTTTCTGGCCAGACCATCGGCCATTTCGTTACCTGGTACCCCTGAGTGTCCAGGGACCCACAAAAGACATACCTTATTCGTTGCTGACAGCCTTTGTAGGCTATCTATGCACTCTGACACCAAGGCGGAGGTCACCCTATACGAGGTGAGCGCCTTGATCGCCGCCTGGCTGTCAGTGCATATAGTGATTTGCTGGCTGTGATAGCCCCTCTCGATATTCTCTCGAACACATGCAAGTATTGCAAATACTTCAGCCTGAAAAATCGTGGCATGTTTCCCAAGGGTATAGCAGTGATTTGCCCTTGGAGACTGCCCATAGACCCCAGCACCTGCGCATTCTTCCATCCTGGAGCCATCTGTATACCAGATGATGCCCTTGGTGGGTATTATGCAGTGCCCATTCTGTTCCCAGTCTATCCTAGTAGGAATCTTGACTTGGGGCATTTTCCTGAATCGAATGATCGGTGTTATGCTGTCCCCTTTCATACTGAGTGAGGGGTAGTCGTCTGTAATTTGCTTCCAGAGGCGAGAATGTCCGTATGTTCCTTCGCTCCTCCACTGGTTACAGCTTTGTAAGCGAACGGCGGCCTTCATCGCCTCATGTTCTATATACAGGTTCAGAGGCGGCAGTCCGGTCAGAGTCTCCAACGCCCTTGTCGGCGCCGTCCTCATTGCTCCTGTTATGGATATGCTGGCCAGTCGTTGAACTCTGTCGAGCTGACTCCTCGACTTGCCTGTCAGCGTCCCCGGCCACCATACGATGGCCCCATATGTTATCATTGGACGTATGAGAGCGGTGTACACCCAGTGAAGGATACTTGGCTTGAGCCCCCACGTTCCCCCAAACGTCCTTCTGCACGCCCAGAACGCTGCCGTAGCCTTCTGGACCTTCCTCTCAATATGCTCGTTCCAATTGAGCCTAGAGTCAAGAATGACTCCTAGATATTTGGTGGAGCCTTTATACCGCAGGGACTTGCCCGATAGTCGTATATCGGGGAGGTCCCCTGCCTTGCGTTTTCTGGTGAAAAGTACTACTTCCGCCTTTTCAGGGTTAGCTCTTAGTCCCGTGCTACGACACCAGCGGTCCACCCCGTCCAGGGCCCGTTGTGCCTGTCTCCGACTGGGAGTGAACCCCCTACTGTCGATCAGGATGACTATGTCATCTGCGTAAGCCTGGATATAGTATCCCATGCTATGTATCTTCGATAGGAGGTCGTCCACGACGAGGCACCATAGAAGGGGTGATAGCACCCCTCCCTGCGGGCAGCCTCTTGACACAACGGCCTCCTCGAGGCTGTTTTGAAGAGTGGCTCTCACTATCCTTCTCGAGAGGAGTGCGTGTATCCACTTTATCAAAATTGGACTAACACCCCTCTCCTCCGCTGCACGACATATAGAGTCAAACGATGTATTGTCAAATGCTCCCTCAATGTCTATGAATATCCCAAGGGCAGAGTCCTTGCGATCTAACACCCCCTCAACTCTATGAACGAGTCGATGAAGAGCCGCGTCAGTACCCCTACCACTTTGGTACGCAAATTGAAGGTCACTGAGTGGTGATTCGCTCAGTGGCCCCTCTCTGATGTGACGATCTACCAGTTTTTCTAACGCCTTTAACAAAAACGATGTGAGACTGATGGGCCGAAACGATTTTGCCTGCGTGAAATCAATTTTTCCAGGCTTCGGTATGAAGATCACTATAGCTGTTCTCCAGGCCTTGGGGACATACCCGTGTGCCAGACAGCTTCTGAAGATCTTCAGGAGATGTAGAATGAGGATGTCCAGTCCCTGTTGTAAAAGGGCCGGACAGATTCCATCCTCACCTGGTGATTTGAAGGGTGAAAAGGATTCGATTGCCCATTTCACTCTGTCATATGTTACAATTTTTGAGGCTATCGTGAAGTCGATCCGAGCTTCGACTGAGGTGACAGCCTCAGAATCAGGCTGCAGAAAGGTGCAACCTGGAAAGTGCGTGGAAAGCATATGCTGTAGCGTCCCTCCATCCGATGAGGTGTAGCTCCCATCGGGAAGGGTCACCGTCCCCAGCTTAGCCCTCGGGTCCTTGGAGAGAACTTTGTTGAGCCTTGCCGCCTCAGGAACAGTATTTATTCCTTGGCAGTACGCTCTCCACGAGTCCCTGCGAGCATCGCGGATCGCTTTTTTGAATTCCCTCTGGGCCAGTTTGTACTCTTCCCAGTGGGCCCGTTTTTCTGTTCTTTTGGCTTTATTCAACAGCTTTCGGACTTTCTTTCGATGGAGTTCAATTTTTGAATTCCACCATGGTGTTTTGCCTAGACAGTCTGTCCTTTTCAGGGGACAGCTGGCTTCGTATGCTTCGACTATGGCAGAATTGAGACATCCTACGAATGTCTCTATTTCTGCTTCAGAGCCATATCGTGATGGCATGTTCCAGAGTCTACCTTCAAGCTCCTCTCGGTAGAGGTTCCATCTGGTTGCTCTGGGGTTTCTGAACCATCGGTTTTCCTCTTGGATATGGCCTGTTACTGAAAACAATATATGACGGTGATCAGACAGACTTTCCTCCGTCGACACACGCCAGTTACTGACCCTACCTGTTAGCTCTGTTGAGCATAACGTCAGGTCAACGATTGTCCGCGCTATAGGCGTGAAATATGTTGGCACTGTTCCTCTATTAAGGATCTCCAGATTACTGGAGCTCAGAAATTCCAGAAATGCCCTGCCTCTCGGATTGACGTCGCGATTCCCCCACAGTGTATGATGCGAGTTCGCGTCGCATCCAATCATCAAGGGCAGTCCCATCTCCTCACAGTGCCTTACAAGACTCCCTACCTCAGGAGGAGGGTTTGCCATTTCGTAAGGGAAGTAGGCTGAGCATACTATAATGTCACTCATGCTTCCCTCTGTTGTACTGTTAACCTTGATTCTGATCGCTACCAGGTCTCTGTAGCAGAATCCTGGTAGCATAGTCGCGTTAACACCTTTCGCGTATATGCATGCTCTTGGCTTCGGGCTAGAAGTGCTGTAATACAGTGTCCCTCCCGCTTGCCCCATTCCTCTCACTCTGTCTTGGTGTACCCAAGGTTCCTGAATGAGTGCCAGATTTATTTTGAGCTCCCTTAACCTCCTGCATAGGAGAGCCGTGGAGGCTCTCCCATGCTGTAAGTTAGCCTGCAGGAAGCTCAGGGAAGAGGACTTATGGGTCGCCATTTGATGGCCTAGTCGCTCTTCCCGTCCGGAGGGGCATGGCTTTCGCCACGTCCCTCTTCTTCCGGACTTCTCTCCACCAGAGGACGACCTGGGCCGTCCTCTGTCAGAGTAGTGTCCTCTGCTGTCTCAGAGGCATCCATTTCTTCGGACGCCTCTGGCTTCTCTTCTTCCCGGTCTTCCTTGGACCCCCAGCTCACCTGTGCCCGCGAGGCACTGAAGAACAAAGAGCCCCCAGCCTCCTCGATAGCTGCTATGGACTTACTGTCCATCCCAACTATCAACGTTAGACCGCGTTTCTCCTCCCTCCTGTTCCAGACTCTCCACTGAGAGGTGGACAGGTTGGGATTCTGCCTTTCCAGGACACTCAGTATGTCCTGGTTAGGCAGCCTGACTGACTGACTTATTGAAAATGGTACTTAAATGAGTTTGGGTGTATCCTAATCGTCGTAACCTGTTATAATAATTATCTGTACTGAATTATAGTTTATATCACTATAATTATCTTACCAAATGATTTCGACCCGATTTGAACGAGGCATCTTTAAATTTTTAGGATCCGAATTACACTGACTTTTTCATGAAAATTGGCAATTGATATAACCTCTATGCATACCAACATTGTTCCAACAATACGTTGTTATGGAAACAGGGTATCGTTGTTTGTTTTTGTTGATGAGATGTGTTGATTTACTGCTCACTAAGGTAGACAACTTTTATCATAGACTGCGAAGTAATACATTATTGATTGTTTTTGAGTAACCTGGTATACATATCTGCTCCAACGCTTTCCTGAAATGCATAAAAGCATCCATTTATGGAACACCTCTAAAATTAGTCCATTTAAAAATTACAAAAAAAATTTTTTTTTCGGAAACCACAGTAGTTTTTGGCAAAAACTCGAAAACGTCCCGAGGTATGGTTGCTATTTATGAAATGCCTGAATAAAATATGAGCATCGTGGTCTTCCGACAAAATGGGGAGGCGGAGAAATTCTTTTCAAAATGCACGAAACTTTGTTTCACCCTGTATCACGTGTCCTGACCAATTCAGAAGAAGTTGTAAGGAACGGTTCGAAAGACGATGAAAAAGGCATTCAGAATCTGGGCGGCAATTCAAAATTCTTTCAATATTTTAGAAATTACGAGAAGTCAAACTTGATGCCAAATTTCACTATTAACGTTTCAATTGACGCCCAGTTTATATCTAATGCAGAAAGTTGCTGCAATTTTTGGTGTTTTTGGAGCCTGTCGTCGAGAAGAACTGTGCGATTTGACGATAAATAATATCGAGGATTCCGGAACTTCACTAGTTGTGCATATACCACACACAAAAACTAATGTGCAACGCACCTTTGTTGTAAATCGTACATTGTATATGAACTACTACAAAAAGTACATAGCCCTTCGTCCAGTGGATATTAATCATTCTAGAGTTTTTATAAAATGCATTAAAAATAAACATGCCAGGACTCCAGTTGGAATCAACACATTTGGTAAGATGCCTGCCAAAATTGCCGAATTTCTTGATTTGCCTGATTCCCATCTATATAATGGACATTGTTTCCGACGTTCCTCACCTAGTTTGTTGGCGGACTCTGGTGCTAGTCTTACTACAATTAAAAGACATGGTGGATGGAAGTGCAGTACAGTAGCAGAGGGTTGTATAGAAGACTAGCTACAAAGGAAACAGAACATTGCAGATCAAATTTTGTCGAAAACTTCGGCAGATAATATTGCTCTCTGCCCTGGTACAAACTTCACGAAAATAAATTCTGTCACATCTACCCATGAGACTGGCCATGGAGTTACGTATTATAATTGTAGTTTCGCTAATTGTACTTTTATTTGAATGAACACTTCATTTTGAATTATGTTTACATATTTTCTCATAAAAATAAATCACTTTTAGCATTTGAATATTTTATAATAATAAATGTTTCTTCATGTTAACGTTAGGACTTTTTTCGCACGCTAGTAGAAAAAATAGTGAATCCAAAAGGAAGGTCACATTTAAATGTAATTTAAGAAAATTCAATAATCTCTCAAGTAGAACTTGGTCAGCTATTAGTAGTTGATTTTCGATTTGATGTACAAAAATCGATTTCCTATGGATTATCAAATTGATCAATTCTTCCAGGACATGTTGACAAATTCTCGTGCGGCAGATTCTGGAATAAAATTGGAAGTCAACGAGAAAATATTGGATTCTTGTACGACCTTGATGCAGGCCATCAGGATTCTAGTACAAAAATCAAGGTTGTTGCAAGCAGAAATCGTCGGTCAAGGCAGAGTAAGTAATTTATTTTTGTTGGATAATATTCTTAGTACATTCATCATTTCGGATTTTTTGGGATTGTCTCCTCGTTTCTATAAAATAAAAACATGAATATTATTTCAATATACGTGTAGTAATGACAAATCAGATGATTTGCCCCAAAATGTCACTGCATTTGAAGAATTTTCCTATCAGAGAGCCTAAAAGAAAAATTCACTAGCTTGTCAGTGACAATTTGTATTGAAAAAGGTTTGGAGAAGAGAAATGAAGGTATATAGAAAAAATATCAAATTTTTACTTAGCTTTGGACGTTTCGGGATCGAATATGCTCGCGTTTTCAACATAACAAATGTATTTTCTCAGTGACAATTGGTGACGTTGGCAATCAAATGAGTTGAAGGATGTTCTCATTGATCAATCTTGAATTTATCATTTTCATTTTCAGATTTCAATAGTGAATACCATGTTCTATCTATATCAACTGAACAGGAAGCAATGCTATTGTCTCCGTTCAGTAGAATGCAAGCAGATTCCTTGATTTTTCTCTTCTGGTTGTTATCTTCTTTTCCAATGATTACAATATTATTCCACTCTGCCATATGCTGTCTGTCTTCAGTAAGGATATGTTCAGCTAGTTTCGATTTGTCGATGTGTTTTCTCTTTATATTGTATGTTCCTTTGTCCTGTACCAAGCCCATAATTTCACGGTATCATTATAAGATAGGTTAAGATTAGTATTTGGTGGATACGCACAATTTGATAAAAGTGTCGAAGTGGATGGGAGCAACTGGTGAGCGCTCGTGGTTCTAGAACATTTCGGATGTTTCCAGGCGAAGAAGCTGACCAATGGAAACGAAGGGTGAAGCTTCGTATTTTGGCGCGGGACGGAGTTTACGACAAAGAATCCGGTATCGGTGTCTTATACGAAGTGACATCTTGTATGTAATCGAGAGTGATACTCGAAGATTGAACGTGATTTTACCTGAGAGTTTGTGTGGTACCATATATAAAAGTTAGCTGCAAATTTACAAAACTACGGGCCTCCTAGACATCGACAACAAAACTATTTTAGTGGTGCACTGACATTTTAGAAAAATTGTAGTGAAGTGATGGCGACTCGTGAGGACAATAGGCATTCAGCTAAGTACTAGATTAAAGATTTTCTTCATGTTTGTTTAGGTATACGATCAATAAAACGTAATTTGCAGTTTTTTGAATTGTCCGATAGTTTCCAAAAATAATCCTCACCAATCGAAGAACCTATCATTGAGAAATAAAAATTGAATGAGCAGCTCGTGTTCAGGCCTTACTGAAAGAGGTCTCTTGGTTTCACTTGTATAAAACTCTCCACAAACACAAGGTATACTGTAAATACAAAACTGAAAAATGGAGAACAATCGTCAAAAAATTGTATTTACATTATACCTTGTGTTTGTGGAAAGTTTTATACAGGTGAAACCAAGAGACCTCTTTCAGAAAGAAAAGACACATCGACAAATCGAAACTAGCTGAACATATATCCTTACTGGAGATGGACAACATATGGCAGAGTGGAATAATATTAAAATCATTGGAAAAAAGATAGCAACCAGAAGAGAAAAGTCAAGGAATCTGCTTGCATTCTTCTGAACAGAGACAATACGTCACTAATCGTCACTGAGAACTGAAGGTGTCAAGTCAAATACGAAACGTCCGAAGATGAGTGGAAATTTGATATTCTTTCTCCATACCTTTATTTCTCCGCTCCAAATCTTTCTCCATACAAATTGTCACTGACAACCTAGTGAATTTTTCTTTTAGGCTCTCTGATAGGAAAATTCTTCATATGCAGTGACATTTTGGGGCAAATTATCTGATTTGTCCTCACTACACGTATATTGAAATAGTATTAATATTTTTATTTTATAGAAACGAGGAGAGAAAATCCCAAAAAATCTGGAATAATGAATTCTTAGTAATTGTGATTAATTTTCAGGGAACTGCTAGCGCCAAAGAATTCTACAAAAGGAATCACCAGTGGACGGACGGTTTCATTTCTGCAGCGAAAGCTGTGGCAGTAGCTGCACAGTTTTTGTTGTAAGTTGTACATATCGGTCATTTTTGCATACAGGGTGGTCCAAGAAAAATTTTACACCCCGATTTCAGGGCATTGAAATAAAAATCGGTTGCTGATTCGTCAACCCTCTACCAGGGGGAAGCACAACCCCCAGGTTGTTGCAATACCTCATTTTGAAGATTCCATCGAGTACTATCCGACCCTCTAATTTCGTGTCAAAATTTTCATAGATAACGAAATGATGATAGAGTGAAAGAGGCAATGTCGAATTGACCTTGGAAAATTTTGAATGTATGACAAATTGATATTCTGAATTGAGGAAACCTAATCACGAATCTGCGATTGAAGGACTATAAAAATAACAAGTTTCCATCGTTCAAGTTTGGACCCCTTGATTGGGTGAAAGCATTGAAAGGAATATTCTTTGATGAATTATGAACATAACATAAATGAAAAAATGGATACATGTAAAGAAATAAATTGATTCGCATTCTCTATGTGATAAAAATATCAATTCTTTCTCGGTTTATTCAACAGAAAACAACAACTTTCGAATAGGACACTATCCTTCAACAATGAACTCATCAAATATACAGATGTTACAACATTTTTAGGACTTTATATTGATGAACGACTATTGTGGAATAAACATACAGGCATTTTATTCAAAAAACGAAAATTCATTTCTACTAGATACTTGGAGAGTATTTATTTCTCTCTTATTTACTCGAAATTTCAATACCTAATATCTATATGGGGAAGTACCAATATTTCACGTTTGAGTCCACTAATGAAATTACAATATAAAACATTGAAGTGTATTTTCAATTGAAATTTTCTCGAACCAACCATGAATTTATACAAACCTAGAGATTTATTAGATCTGACATCACTATACAAACTTAAAATATGTTGTTTTATTCGATTCATCATATATAAATTGAAAATTTCGAATTTAAATTTCTATGAAATCAATTCATTACATAATCATGGAACAAGACAATCAAATTTACTAATAGCAAATACGTTCAAGTCAAATATCGGCAAACAATCAATTTTTCACACAGGAATCGTTCTATACAACTCATTACCAAGTCAATTGAGGAATATACAGGAAGCAACTAGATTCAAAATTAATTTGAAAAAATATCTGCTTCAGAGACTTTGATAATTCCATTTCTTATTTGAATACCTACTTATGAACGACAAGGTTGATATTGCATGATTATTTGCATTTTTTTTACTCGTTTTATCTTAATTTCATAATTGTATGTATAACATTAGGTATATTGTTCATGTATCCCTATTATAAACAACTATGTTTCTTGGAGTAATAAAGACAATTAAAATCAATTTTCATTTCAAAGCCCTAAAATGTATTCGTGCCTGAGGACGAAATTCCGGAAACTTTTTTTCATAAATTGATCTGAGGAACCACCCCCTTAAATATTGCCGCGTATTTTTCAAACACCCTGTATAACTGCACCAAATCTCATGAAAATTCGTTCAAGAATGCAGAAGTAGGCAATTTTTCCATTTACACCTCCCGAAGAACAACCGGAAAAGGGCTATAGACGGTTATTCCGATAATTTCCAGAACTGCCGCCGACAAAGTGGTCACTTCCAGCGGCAAACTGGAACAACTAGTGGTGGCAGCTCAAGAAATTGCCGCCTCCACCGCCCAATTGGTGGTGGCGAGTAGAGTAAAAGCGGACCGCAACAGCGGCAACCTTCAACAGTTGACGCAAGCTTCTAAAGGGGTCACTACGGCGACAGGCACTGTCGTGGCTACCGTTAAGGATTGCGGGCAACTGATCGACGAAGCAGGTAAATTGTTTTTTCTATTTTTTTTTGGTTCCTTATTTATACTGATTACGTATTTACATACGTAAGTAGGTACTTCCCGGACGCATATTTACGTTCCCTATACAGCTAGCGCGACAGATCGCTCTCACGGCATAGGGATTGGAGTGCATACTGGAGCACTCCGTTTCGTAGCTGATATGCGCAAAGGGCATCGACGTTCCCGCGAGTTATTATTTATTGTCATCAGCAGAATGCTGCGAGCAATTAGTTACCGAATAACTCTCTAAGAATTCATCTCGTCATCACTGGAGGACTTCTACAAAACAAAGTTGTTGCATTATGCTAGCTTCAGGCATAACAAATTGTTAATTTATTTAACGAAATTTTGCAAAAGAATCGGTTGATCTTGGTGTTGTGGAAGTTTCTGAAGATCAGTTTACAGTTACTTCAGCTGCAGATCAGACACTTTTGTACGAAGTAAATACAAAATTGAAAGTGTGTGACTGTCCTGAAGGGACAGAAGGGAAATATTACAAGCATCTGTGCGCTGTATATAATACTGGTGTGCAGATACACAACGTTCCTAATATTTTATTACAAGACAAAATAGAACTTGCTACGTTAGCACTTGGCAATACTATCAGTGGTGCCAACTTCTTCAAAGAAATGGATGAAGAGAAAGATAACGAGGTTACTGCAGACTTTGGCGAACCCGTGACGTTGGAAACGGAAGATGGCTTTAATGAGACGACTCCTGATGAAGAAACTAATGTTTCCGTTGAAGTGAACGAAACTGAAACTGATGGATCAGTCGAACTCAAAGAATTCAAAGACAACTCAAAATAAATTAGCAGCTTTGTGGAATCTCATCCAGCACTATTGCCTATTTGCCACGAAGTTAATTCAAATAGTGACCTTCATAATTATCATACTAGACAGAAAAATAATTATTATGTACCCTTTGCAAAACTCAAAATCAGAGAGAATGCACCAAACTTTATAGCACTAAAGCTTTTCAATAGACTACCCAATAATTTGAAGAATATCGTGAAGATTAAGTGTTTCAAAAGCCAACATGAATTCTCGACATTCTGATACATCTGATACAACCAGTATGCTTACGGCAAAGGTGATCATGCGCACATTGTCGGCAACATTGTCAGTTATATATTTTTATACGCCAATCTCATATTTCTGCATTAGGATTTAGTTCATATTTGTTATAAAACTTCTTGTAACTGATGATCAACAGCTTAACAAAAATCACATTATGGAATTTTCACGACAAAATGCATATAGACGCACTAATATTAATTGAATGACTAACAAGAGATCCATGAATTATTATGAACTTCAAGTTTCAAACGAGTTCATCTGGCAACTATGTAAGAATGTGCCTCTGTCATTTTGTCTGACTTAGACTCAAAACAGAGCCAGATTAGTTTTAGTTTTTCAGTGTTTTGCTTTGCGTTTAACGTCGTTCGTTAGTGAATTTGAGATTATTGAACAGTTATGGTGTCATAGTAAAGTACTTATTTGATTCGACATTCATTGACTCATTTGTGTACAATGTTTTCAAGATGAATGATTTGGTGACAAGATAAAGAACAAATTCCAGGAATGTCTTACTTCGGGTAAATTTATATCGTCAACAAGCTTTGTGCTATTATTTTTTTTTTCTACGGCTATAACACAAAATGGCTCTTGTTTTACTTTGTTCGATAAATCAATGAGGTACTTTGTATGCCATCAATGTTATTTCCGTATCATCCGTGTTATTATTTCACAAAATCTCATCTACTATGAAATGTCAAATATCAAGCCATGACAACTGTGTCTGATTGAAAAGCATTACTCAAGATAAAATGCTAATTTCCCACTCGAATGATTTACAGCATTCGCCTACGGCTCATTCCGTGCTCGTTAAACAGTATACTATTTTGTTGTCATTATTATACAGTGTGTCCCACTTACCATGCTCACCATGGGTATCTTTTTGACGGTGAGAGATACGTGGTCGGTTAAATGACACCAAATGTGGAGTTTGTCAAGGCCAACTATGATGTGAAAAAATATTTTGATAAAATCTATTCGTTTCTGTTTTGTACGCAAAAAACAGATTTTTATCATTTTCATGTCTCCACTGTAACTTCTTTATTTATGAAAATATTCAAATAGGAATTTCACATTCTCATGGCAGTTTTTCAAAATGATTTCGAAAAAAATATGAAATTTTATACCAACTCTTCTAGAATTTGAGATATCAGCACCAACTTTAGTTTTTCAAATGTAGGTCATAGCTCACTATGACTTAGTTACAAATTACTTCTTTTTCTCTTACAGATGATATGTCGCAGTAATAGTTTTGTGTTGATAACAACAGAGTTATCGTCATTTATACAAAAACAAAAAATTATTTGGAAGCCGCCATCTTGAATTTATAAATTCAAACAAGAAAATCATTATGGAATTTTTGTTGAAATTAAAAAAATGGCTGCTCCAAGATGGCGGACAAGATTTGGTCCATTCCAAACTTTTGAAACCATGACAACCAGTCATAAACAAATGTTTGATGAATTAAATTGTCTCACCGAATTACACTCTAGCTTTTTTTTAGTCGAAGTACACTTGGGCATTTATAATTCGAATTTTGTTGCCATCAGGTAATTCAACTCAAAGAACTGCCAGAAAAAAATACTTGTCCTATGGACTCGTAATTTTTCCAGAAGCAGTTTTTTTCGTCAAATTGCCAGGCAACAAAATTCTTTTTGATACATGTCAAGTTTACTTTTTACAAAAAAAACGCTCTTGTGTATGTGTAATTATAAGTGAAAATAGGGCAATAAATGTATAATCAAATTGCCTTGAATTTTCCATAGAAGACCTCGATGTCACCAATCTGACCCTTCATCAAGCCAAGCGGCTGGAAATGGACTCTCAGGTGAGAGTACTGGAACTCGAGAAGGAACTGGAACAGGAACGCTACAGGTTGGCCAAACTGAGGCGACACCATTACCAATTAGCGGGAGAAAATGAGACTTGACTTGACATTGTTTTTTTGTTTTCGTATCGAACCCAGTTATCGTCGGTGATCTATTTATTAACCTTAGCTTAAGCGATCCAAAGATAGATAATTTTTGTTGCCTATGAGCAGCATGCATTGACAGTTGTTGGTGTTTATACTATTTATACAATGTAGTTTATATACATTCATTTTACTATATATTTTATATGTTCGTATCGATTCAACTGTTTACATGATATTCAAAAAAATAAACTATATGAACCTTAATGTTTTGGGAACGTCTCGTTTGACCCAATTTTCGATTCGCCCACCGTCTCCGAACATACCCGAAAGATGCGTTGTTGTCAAATAATGCAACAATTTCCTCGGATTCAATGAAACGGGAATTATCAACAATCATTTCACATTCAAATAATTATGTCGTTGGTCCAACATTTTCTACAGGGTGGGTCACCAGTAACGCCTCGGTCTCTAGAAGGCTAACCACTCATCTTCTTGGAATTCTTCCTCTCTAGGAAGTTGCATGTCAACATAGGCTACCATTTGGAATTATTATGAAACATACAGGATGTCCCCAAAAATCACAAAACACTGAAGTTGAACTTTTTTCAATCGAACACCCTATATATTATTTCATTTTGAGATTCTCCCTGGTGAGCTGATTTCAACAATCCATCATACTTGGGGTCTAGCAGTTATAATTACTGAGATATGGGGTGTGAGAAATCGAGATTTTCCAAGTTCAAGAATTTTTTGTGTCTAAACCATTCATAATTGGTCAAAACGGCTTACATGTCCCTATCTCAACTTTTGATTAACTATCTACTGATATTCAATTGGGACATATACCGGGTGATCAAGATTCTGAATTCTGCACCACCCTGTATTTGTTTCAATTAAATGTCAGTAGATAGTTAATCAAAAGTTGAGATAGGGACATGTAAGCCGTTTTGACCAATTATGAATAGTTTCGACACAAAAAATTCTTGAACTTGGAAAATATCGATTTTTAACACCCTATATTTCAGTAATTATAACTGCTAGACCCCAAGTATGATGGGTCGTTGAAATCAGCTCCTCAGGGAGAATCTCAAAATGAAATAATATATAGGGTGTTCGATAGAAAAAAGTTCAACTTCAGTGTTTTATGGTTTTTGGGGACACCCTGTATGTTTCGAAATAATTTTAAATGGTAGCCTATGTTGACATGCAACTTCCTAGAGGGAAAGAATTCCGAGAAGAGAAGTGGTTAGCCTTCTAGAGACCGAGGCGTTACTGGTGGCCCACCCTGTATAACCCAATTTTCGATTCGCTCAATTTTTTATTCGCCCAACTTTCGATTCGCTTAATGTTCGATTCCCCCAATTTTCGATTGTTGAAAAATGAATATACATTCTACGATGAGGGTTCATTTGAACGAGTCAAGTTAGATTACTTATTTAAACAAAGGAGTCTCATTTGTTCTTTCGCGTAATTTTCCGAAAAATACAGTGTGACCCACTTCTAATGGAAACACCCCTGTATCTTACGTAAACGTTGGGTAAGGATCCTGAAATTTGCTGGAGCGAGAGATATACCAAAAATGCACTCTATGACCAAGTGGGGTCATCTTCAGTGATATACACTGCTCGCCAACAGCCATGGAACCACCCAATTTCCGGAAAATGATATAAGGAGTCAAAATAGTTAGAAAATCACTTCGAATTCGGAATCAGAACGCCGAATTTACTAACTATTCATAGTTTTCCTGGAAAATTTTCAGTTCTGAAAAATTAAATTTTGTCGCACTTTTTACGGAAGCACCCCCGTATCTTACGTAATTGACTTTATCTTTGAACATTTCCTTCCTCCTGCAAATTTCAGAACCCTACCTCAATGATTACGTGAGATACGGGGGTGCTTCCATGAGAAATGAGACAAAATTTAATTTTTCTGAACTGAAAGTTTTCTAGGGAAACTATGAAAAGTTAGTGAATTGGGCGTCCTGATTCCGAATTTTGAAATTCGAGTTGGACGTCAAGTTTTGCTTCAAAAAAGATGAAAAATGGCCTACTCAATCGGGGTCACGTGACTTTCGCTACAAGTCAAAAGGGACATTTTTTCAAATTAATCGCTGAAAGTAGGCTTATTTGTTCGAATATCAAAAAAGTTTACTTGAAAAAGTTGTTTCTATTTGAATTTTACATATGTGACTCGGATTTTATCTTTCTATTACGTTTTTAAGATTTCGAAATTTTTGAAAAATTTTCGAAATTTCTGTATTATTAAAAAAATTATTAATTCGATAAAACTACTTCATACCAGTAGCTTCATCATGTTACAATTCAATTACTAATTATTATCGACAAAAATATGATTTTCTTCAGAAAATGATAATCTCCTCTTCAAAATTCTGTTATGTTTGATCCAAACATAACATCAAAATTCTGTTATGTTTGAGTCAAGCATTTAGAAACGAAATTCATTTAAATTTATTTTTTCAGTACTGAAAAGATCAGTTTGAATGAATTTCGTTTCTAAATACTTGACGATATATCAACTTTGCATCAAACATAACAGAATTTGGAAGCAAGTATTATCATTTTCTGAAGAAAATCATATTTCTGTCCATAATCAGTGATAATAAGTAATCGAAAGTGAGTAGCATGAAAAAGCTACTGGTATGAAGTAGTTTCGTGGAATTAACAATTCTTCGAATATATACAGAAATTTCGAAAAATTAAAAAAAAAATCAAAATCTAAAAGTTGCAATCGAAAGATCAAATTCGGGAAGCATGTGTAAAATTGAAATAGAAACAACTTTTTCAAGTAAACTTTTTCGATATTCGAACAAATAAGCCTACTTTCAGCGAATAATTTGAAAAAATGTCACTTTTGACATGTAGCGAAAGTCACGAGACCCCGATTGAGTAGGCCATTTTCCATCTTTTTTGAAGCAAAACTTAACGTCCAACTCGAATTCCAAAATAAGTTAATACTAAAAGTTTTTCCCATATGATGCCGACTTTATGAATGACACTGTATATCTCTCGCTCCCAGCAAATTTCAGGATCCTCACCCAACGATTACGTAAGATACAGAGGTGTTTCCATTAGAAGTGAGTCATACTGTATACTTTTTAGGAAGGTTCATTCAGGCAGAGTAAGGTTAGATTATTCACTTAGGCCGAGTAAGCTTAGATTGTTTTAAAAAATGAGTCTCTTATGTTCTCTCAAGTAATTAAGTATGCGGAAAATATACTTTCTAGGAAGAACGTACATTTAGGCCGAGATAGGAAGTCTAGGTTAGGTAGTTTGGAAGAGGTTGTCTCATTCCTTATGCAGATAAGAATATTTTCCTTCCTTTCATCACGTGAATCGAATTTAGGGCGAATCCAAAATTGGGCGAATCGAAAATTGGGCAAATCAAAATATGTACCATACATACATAATTATTATGTGTCTCAAAATATTGAAATATTCAATAATGATGAGGCCGGAATGATTATTCATTCATTTTTAGCAACAACGCCTCGTTCGGGTATATTCAGAGATGGTGGGCGAATCGAAAATTGGGCCGAACGCAACCTACCCAATTTTTTTATTGATCTGTTTATTTTCGCGAGAATCATAGACCAAATTACAAATTTTCAAAAACATCGAATATCTCGTTAACGGACAGGAATATCGAGAATATAATTGCAAAAATCCCCCCCTGTAAACCTACTCCAATGAGCCAGAGAAAACTTATACAGGGTATGTCACGACGAGCTTACACTATTTTTATATCGAAAATCAATCGCGAGAAATCCATTAAAATGTGCATGCTTATATATCAGAACATGCTCATTTCATTTTATATTTTCGACAATGCAGTCTTGCCGCTTCTGCTAGAAAGTAGTAGCAACATTGATATTTCAAATGGAACACCCTGTATTTTATCGCATTTTCAGATTCTCCCTGAAGAGCTGATTTTATCGATGTATCACACATTGGGTCTATCGAGAAAGATTACAGAGATATAGGGTGTTCAAAATGGAGATCTTTCAACTTAAGGATTTTTTTGTGTCGAAACTATTCATTATTGGTCGAAACGGCTCACATGTCCCTATCTCAACTTTTGATTCACTATTTATTCATATTTAATCGGAACAGATACAGGGTGGTTTAAGATTCAGAACTCTGATTACCATGTATCTGTTCCGATTAAATATAGGTAAATAGTATATCAAACGTTGAGCTAGGGACATGTGAACAGTTTTGGTCGATAATGAATAGTTTCGACACAAACAAATCCTAAAGTTGAAAAATCTCGATTTTGAACACCCTATATCTCTGTAATCATTTTCGATAGACCCCAAGTATGATATATCGATGAAATCAGCTTTTCAGGGAGAATCTTAAAATGCGATAAAATACAGGGTGTTCCGTTCAAATATCAATGTTGCTACAACTTTCTAGTAGAAGCGGCAACACTGCATTGTCGACATATCTTAAATGAAAAGAGCGTATACCAAAATATGAGCTTGCACATTTTCATGAATTTCATCCGACTTATTCTCGATAAAGATAGTGTAAGCTCGTCGTGTGGCATACCCTGTATAGGGTAATGAAGTTAAATGAATACAGAGAAATATGAGGAAAAATTGAGAAATCTGCACTCACCAGCATGAAAAAAGTGAGGCTTTGATGAAACAACACGAAACACTATAGAACAACACACGATCCCGATATTATTATTATTGAATCGAATGAGGCATACAAAAACACTATTCACGAATCAATACGATCACTCAGTTTCTAGGGAACACTCAGTTTGAAACGATAAATAATTCCTTTCGCGTATTTTTCGATGTCGATCACAAAATTCGACCGTACATGATGACATCTAATATAAGACTGTCTTGATTTACCACCTGGTCCCGAATGAATGACTAATAAGTTGAGTCATGCTGATAACCGATTAATTTCCGAACAAAAAATGATTTATCTATGACAAATGATGATAATAAAATTGAACGGAGGAGGAGATATTTTGTATACAGGTGCTATTTTTTTTTCGAAAATCACTAACGATACGGGGGGAAAAGATATATAATATACAAAATATAAGATGAATTATTGAACACGGATATACTCTGACAGTATTATTTTCGAGAGTCAAATGATTGAACACAGGCTGAAAATATAATCTTTCTCAAAATATCTTGACATGTTTTTATAACTGGAAAGAGTAGGAAAATAATGAACAATAATGTGGCCTACTTTTTATAAGCGCGCATCAAATTTGACATTTGTGTGTGTGAAAATGTAATGAGCACACAAAAATAACTAAAATAATTGACAAATTATTCTACGGAACAAAATACATCGATAGTTCACCTAATTCAGCTCTAACTAAGTTGAAATGATATATCGTTGAAATCAGCTCTTCTGGGAGAATCCAAAAATGGAATAAAATACAGGGTAGTCTACTTGAAATAACAACGTTGTTACTACTTTTTGATAGAAGCGGCAACACTGCATTGCTGAAATTATTTTAAATGAAGAGAACGTATTGTAAAATATA